ACCCACAAGACTTCAAATGACAAGCGAACTGTTTTTCATTTTCTAGGTTGGGAAGTCGATAATGAAGAGAGCGATAAAGAAGTAACAAATCAAAGCAGAAATAAAGACGTCATTGGTAAGTTTACTTTCCCTGTACATAATTACAAAGTGATAAAAAAGTCAGGACACATGCATTGAATTAGTTTCATACAGTGCGTTCATGATATGGCTATAAGTCCTTAATTACAAACACACCATCTGTGAAATAAAATACGAAATGAAATAAGATTTTATATTATGGAAACACTCTTTAATAGCCAGGGACTGTAATCCACGATAACATAAATCATAGTATAGCTTTGGGTAGAAAATGGATTGGTTTCGCTGTCCCGCGTATCATTCGAGTATACTATCACAGAATATTGTTCCCATTGTGCCACAAAACCGATAATCCTTGGATCTGGAGGTTTCTTTGCATCCCAATTCCCGGTACAGCAGAAGAGGCTTCTGGAAAAAATAGCTTGCAGGAGCCGTTTCAGAAATGGTCTGTGGAAGATGTTAGTCGCGCTTATATAAACGGCCCTTCCATTCTGCTAGAGAAGAACTTGCGGAGTAGGACATTCTTCAGCTGGCCTTCCTCCTACGCGCAGCCTGTTTTACACTTCTGAAGGTATAGCAAGTCTTGGGAAGTGTTTTCTTTTCATTCCTTAGTGAAGCGTTTACGACCATAGCACTAGCAGTCATAAATTTTGCGGCGGCCCACAATGACAGGTGCATTGATATGCACTACGAGGACTTTCGGCTTCTTAATAACTACTGTATCGGGCTGTCCAGTCGCCAGACTCTCATTCATTCTTGTATATTACATTACATATTGATTTTAAAACACAAATATGTGTGTTGGATATAAATGGGAACAATACAAGAGCTAAGAAATTATCATTTTTCTTTTGTTTGTAACATTTGAGTCGCCATTTTCTTCTCACCACTCTAGGCATTATATGTGAGCATTTAGGTTACAATTAGCATATTGGAACGACCCTCCCATCTCCTGGACTATATAGCCTACTTATTGTGCAAAAGATGAGCAGACGGAACTACATTATGCTAGCTAAGGATATACAGCCAAACAATGTGTAAAGCTAAAGACTAAACTATATTTAAAATATAAAATATTTTATAGCGCTATAATACAATGCGGTTTTATATGATTGTACGCACTGACAGTGAAACAAAGAGCTTAGAGTGGCATAAATACTACCATTTCTTTTTTTCTTAAGTAAATAAATAATGTGAAAAAGGGGTTGGAAATCTTAGATTCAGAAACAGTTGACCATTGTCCAAGTGATTTATAACCCGTGTTCGGTTCAACCAAAGTTCACAAGCAGATGTAACATTTAAACGGAAAAAGGTGGCTGTTTCCCCCGTCCTTTCTTTTTAGACATTGCAATGTACTAGACAATAAGTGCTTCCAAGGTTTAATCCGTATTTCTCCCACAAAATTAACTGGCGTGTTTTAGTTCATCTCCGAAGAAATCAGATTTATGATTGAAAGCGAACTGAAAACACTTCGCATGTTGTAAATATTGTTAACCTACATACTGTTCACGATTTGCAAACAACGTGCAGCACATGACTGTGTTTTAGATTTTACTAGTAGGCCTATAATTAGTTTAGGAAATAAGAAAATAGAAGAGATGCTGATTATCTCTATTCATTGAGAAAGAAATAATTTATGCTTTCTGGTTAAGTATTACTTAATAACATCCTGATAAATTTGCATGTATCCAAGGCAGATAGATTAATATAATCATACCATGATTTTTTTAAGCGATTCAATAAAGGGTGTGAATCAGACTACATTTATCCAAGCTTTGCAGTCTTCTCGGGTTTTTAACAGATTAAATCAGGAAAAAGTATTTTGGTAAAAGTGCACACGTGGTAGTCAACTCGTGTTTTGTTTCCATTTAAACACATATGTACCATTTACCATTTACTCTTAAGGTAGTTATGTGCATAAGTGTACGTACAACAGAGTGACGATCTTCACATCATGTTCGGAGCTACTTGGTCTATCTCCACACAATGTATAGCATTGAGCGGTATAAGTGAAAGGAAAGATCTGTGGGGTTTACCGCTGATCTGGCATTTTTGTGTGATTGGTTTGACACAAAGGCGAGTTTAAAGGCTTAAGTTATACTTTAACTATCTTCCTTCATTGTTGCCTGAAGGAATACGAGAGAAAGGCTTTACGGACAGCCTTCGACGCTGAAGAAAGAACAAAATCAAGCATAGTTTGTAAAAAAGGTTCTGTCAGATATGATGGAGAGTTTCTATTGAGAGTTGTTAGACCATTTAAGGCTGGACCTGTTACAATCTGGCAAATATATGATCACATCGCAGCAACACTTGTGTAGTTATTCAGATGTTGCATCATGACTTGTAAGAGAAATGTAAGAAGAGCTATGATAACGTTTTTCTGCACACCGTAATCAGTAAGCATCCAAATGTGAGTGGTCCTTTTTACCGAGGAAAAAACGGTAGCTAGAAAAACGACTGTATTGTCTATGCACGTACTGTTGCAAGTTAAATTTCGCGTCGTAACCATAAAACAACACACATTTTCCTCATAAATATTTAACAGGCATATGAAAATGCTCTGTAACTGAGCTACACACAGAAGATTATAGTTTGAAAGAGTGTGGATAGTCAAGCATCAGAGGCCAAAGCCGTCCCAGTTACTTTCGGTCTATACCAACATCAGAATATTGTACCATTTATCTTTTTATCATTCGAGAACTTTTAACAAGTGATTTCATTTTTTGTTTCGGTGTTATTTATCCTCGGAGACTTTTCTACCATGCACTCTCGTACAATTGCGACTAACAAAAAGGAACACAAGATCTAATTCAGTTTGGCTCACTAAATCGACCATACCTTGTTACTTTACGCAAATGTATGGAATTGGTAACATTTTGTGGTAATAGCGTGAAGGGAAGGGAACGTTTTATGGTTGCCAATTATTCATTATTCTTTATTATTGTCTCTGTTCACTAAAATGTAGCCTAATTGAAAATTTTAACTATACGGAGCTGCAAAATTTGTAGTTTGAGAGTACGAATTTTAAAAATGAATTCTCTTTGACAATGTGATCAGTTGAATCATGGTTGAAATTGTAAAACGTGGTCATTAGAGATAATTGTAGGTGGGTTTTCTTCGAGAGTTTAGCGATTAAAAACCTGAATCTTTGCGTGTTGACTCACTATGTATGTTTTGCCCTTTTATCAGGCACTTGTAAAAATGTTGCTATGCTATAGATAGGGGCTACTGTATGTTGCATGATAAATGGAAAGTTCTACTCGCATACGTTTAAGCCACTGTGAACGCATAGCTGGATTAGGAGACATGAGAATCAAGATTTATAGTTCGAGTTTTGTCCGCACCATTGAAGTGTTGACATCGGATTAAGACCGTTCCATTTGATGCAAATGTTTGGCTTGATGTGATGATTGTGAGTATGATACAAGAGTATTCTGGCAATCTGGAAAACAGTCCATATCACAAAGGCGATGTTATCTGTCAATTTGACAACAGTTCATTTCACTCATTAAGTGTTTTGATATCGTGAGTTGGCTAGACTAGAGCGTTAACACACTAAGAAAGACCAGGCCAAATCTAGAATCTCGGGTGATAGGCTACACTTGAATGGTACCTCTTCACCGACATTTTACTTTCATCGTGGTGATGAAAAGCGGAAATGAAACACCTAATTTTCCCTTTGAAAAATATTGTATGTACGGGCATTTAGATGCACCTCAATAAATTCCGAAACGGTTAATACACCACCATCTTCGTATATCGCTCCTGAATTATTGCCATATGAAGTGATGTATAAAACTAGCCATGTTGTACTATACTGATAAAGGAAACCTGTGTTTTTAAACATGGAACACCAAATACTTCAGATTTTATAGTTTGAATAGATAATAAGTGTGCTTAGTAAGTATATGCTATTCATATTATTGTACCAAATGTACTGTAACTCGTCGTTTTCATATTTTCTTTGGACTTTGTATTACGTGTGCTACACAAGGAAAACACCATAGCACCCAAACTAATACAAATGCGTTTAAACAACCGCAGACCTACGTTGTTTAGAAATTAACTTGAACATAAAGATTTTATTAATGTTTGTTTTGTCAAAGCGCATGATTGCTTGGCTCCTGGGTGATCTGAAGGTTAACGAAGTTGAAACAACTTCAGTGCAAGTTGATATACAATATATAGGATATATCTGTGCAATCTAAAAGGTTCTGTAAAAAACACTTCAAGTGTAACACAATAAGAAATGTGTAAAAGAGACGATAAATTAAAATATAAAGTGCTCCCAAAATAGTTTTCCTTAAAATTTTCACATTACTTGTCACTGTGGAAAGCAATGATTCAGCACAGTCGTGTTTGAGTTGACCTCGACAACCTACATTTTCTCTCCGCTATCCCACAAATTGCTCGAATCAAAGGAAAAGCCTGCTCAGTGCAAATGGTCTTCTTTATTAGATTTAAACTCTGATGGTTCACTCCATTTGCTGCACGGGTAGGCATCATTTTGGGCTCCCCTAGAATAATTTTGCTTGCTCGCTTAGGTCAATTTCTGTGACTCACGAGAGCCAGCTAACCTGTGTAGTGAAAATCATAGAAAACTCATAAATAAAAAAGACACACATTTTAGGGTTACTATACAATAGTAGTATACTACTCTACTGCTACATGTCTTGCCTGATGCATATTGTTTATAATTCCTTATCTTAAAATAGAGTAGGCTACATCCACTATCACAGACACCTCTCCTTTTAAAGTCATTATTTTAGCATGAGAAAGTATTGTGCATTTTATTTTAGTTACAAACAGGAAAATAAACGAAATTCCCACTCATCCCTGCGTGGGCAAAGGTTTTAGCCTCATAATCTCTTTCAGCTTCCTTCTTGTTTTATGTTGCAGGTCGGAAAACCAGCCGAGATTGGAAGATACCCTTCACGTGACACAACAAACCCATGCCATTGGATAAGAGCATCCAGGCCTCGTCACTTTGAAACACCACAATGCAGAAAGCTGCGTACTATGACAATTCTGGACTGTTCGGGGGGTATTCGTACTCCAAATCTGACTCGTATAGTTACAGTTCCACTCATCAGCCTTACCCGTCATCTAATATTGAGAACGACTTCCAGGGTCCAGTGTGTACCATTCAAACCCCAACAATCAGACCCCCCAGTCATAAACCTAGTGAGATAAATGGCAGCTGCATGCGAACGACTAACAATCAGAGCAGCAGCCAGCCGACAGCCATCAATGAGCAACAGCAAGCACCTCCTTTGCCAGCCTCTTCACCAAACTCCGGCAGCACTTCCTCCCAGAAAAAAAAGACAGCTTCTAATTCTACCAGTTCTACCACCCCTATTATTACAAAGCAAATATTCCCATGGATGAAGGAATCGCGACAGAACTCAAAACAGAAAAACAACTGCACAACTCCAGGTATACAGATTTTTACATAGAGGCTGCGGTACAGAGAGTAGGCACAGGTGCTTAACGATTTAATTGCTTAATTGCTTTCTACGTCGCAAAAAGGCACCTGACTTAGTCGTGTTGAACTCAAAAGGGCTTACGGAGATCACCGATACTTAACTTTTTTTTAAGTTTTATAGGTTATTTCTTTCTTTGTTTTGTATAGGTTATACTCACGCACCTATTACACTTCATTGTAAACCATTGATACGTCGTCTTAATTTCTTGGGCCGAATTTAAGTGTTCAAGACGCTTTGTCCTCAGGGTTCTAACGATTGTCACATGCTATCACAACCAGCCTCAATATTACACGCAAAGGTCAGTTTACCATTTTACATTTCAGAGGGAAATCAGTAAATGTTCACTACCAACGGCTATATTCATTAATTAAAAATATGATTCGTTTAACATTTCAAGTGTAAACAGGGAAATACTTTTCCCAAAGTATTAATGTCATTCCTCCGATTGATAACATATCTGAAAGCTGGCTGTTTGTGTGTTTCTAATTGTATATTAATGAAAACGGTCATGTAGTCTACATATAGAATATTCACAGTATTTTGATTATTGACATTACGGTTCACGTCTTTAAAGTGAAAGGGGCCTTTTGCTGCTGTGGTCATTAAAAACATTGTAGACTAATACTTGTCTTTAGGGTGGTTCTGTGTGTTTTATACCGTGAAGTCCGGTATAATTAAGAAATCGTATTTTATAGAAGGTTCTTAAACCATCACGATGGTATAGGATTAGAGAACGTATTTTTGGTCAGTTCACTTATTTATTCTTGATGAAACTGAAAATAAAACGCACAAATCCAATGATCATTGTGGGTCGGGAATAACAAATATATGTTTTATGTTAACAAAAGCACATTTCTTAAAAAGCTTAACATATTTACTACTTTCCGGGGAAGCATGAAACACGATTAGATTTTGTGCTCCGTGGAAAAAAAGCTGTATTAAAACTCCACAGCTCATGCTCAGTCAGAGTGCAGCCTATACAAAATCAGGATTATTTCCAAGACGCTAATAATGTCTGACAAAAGACAGTTATTGAATTACTGTATAATGTAATTGTGGTGCCATTGTAGGCGTTAAGCTTTTATTGCAACTCTTTTTAAGTGAATGATCTGGTTTATTCTGCTAAATGGGATTCATGAAACGTTGGTGTACTTGTAAAAAAACAGCTTCAGCCACAACAGTAGGCTACACTACACTGAACATTTAAGATGCAGTGCATATAAAAATCAAACATATTCACGCAGTTGATGACAGTGCGACTTCGCTAGTAAACAGTGCTCACATTTGTAACTGATTTCCTCAAACTGTTATTTCAGGTGACACGTGTGATGACAAAAGTCCTCCAGGACCAGCCTCGAAAAGAGTCCGTACTGCTTACACCAGCGCCCAACTTGTAGAACTCGAAAAGGAATTCCATTTCAACCGGTATCTCTGTCGTCCCCGCAGAGTGGAAATGGCCAATTTATTGAATCTCACGGAGCGCCAAATAAAGATCTGGTTTCAAAACAGGAGGATGAAGTACAAAAAGGATCAAAAAGCAAAGGGGATAATGCACTCTCCAGTTGGACATTCCCCAGACAGAAGTCCACCATTAAGTGGCCCGAACCACATTGGATATTCCAGTCAGCTACCTAATGTGAACAGCCTGAGCTACGATGCTCCCTCGCCAACATCATTTGCTAAGCCGCAGCAAAATATGTACGGCTTGGCTGCTTACACAGCACCATTAGGTGGCTGTATACCACAGCAGAAAAGGTACCCGGGATCTGAATATGAACACCACAGCATGCAAGGCAACGGTGGCTTTGCCAATGCTAATTTACAAGGCAGCCCCGTGTATGTTGGAGGGAATTTTGTTGATTCCATGCCAGCCTCGGGTCCCATGTTCAACCTCGGCCATCTTCCTCATCCTTCTTCGGCCAGCGTGGACTACAGCTGCGCGGCTCAGATTCCGGGCAACCACCACCATGGACCTTGTGACCCCCATCCTACATACACAGATCTAACATCTCACCACTCATCTCAGGGAAGGATTCAGGAGGCACCTAAACTGACGCATCTGTAGTGGACTGTCGTTGTGCCGAAGCGAGCTCTTCGCTTTTTTATTACCTCACTAGTCTGAAGTACTTTATATAATTACGCTCCACGAGAGTTATCTGTATTAGCCTGTATTATTATTATTATTATTATTATTATTTTAAAACAGTTGTGTTCCTTTTCCTGGCTGACGGTGATCAGCCAAAGGATATTTTTTGTCAGCTGTTTCACTTTTTGAAGTGCAATGCGCAACACAGTTAAGGACTGAAAAAAAAAAACGTTTTACTTGAAGGTAAGTCCTGTAGAGATTTCAGTTTTAGCAAACCACAACAATAGGGTGGTTTCGTACAAAAGAAGAAAAAAAAAATCAGTGATGTTTTTGTCCGCATTTGGTCTCAGTTCAGACAGCTTAATTTATGTATTTTTTCAAGAATGTAAGAAAGACTTTTAACTCGATTATAGGTATTTATTATTTAAAGAGAAAGAAGTTTGTATCATTTATTATTTATCCTTGTCTTAATGTATTTATGTGGACATTTGTAGAATTTATGCAACATACCTTGGGCAGATTAATTGTTGTCCTTTGCCATTTTATTCCTTCTTTAGTGAATTGGTTCGAAATAGGTGAGAGAATAGTTTTAAGCAGTTGTAAAAGTGGCTGGTGTTTGTAGTTTTTGTAAGGGTTAATTCTGACAGCAAATTGTAAGCATTCAAGTTAATATAAAATGTTACATTACACTATAGATGATACATATTTCTGAAAAAATGTTTTAATTTAAAACTTCAGATACTATTTGGGAAAATATTTAGAATTAAAATAATTTATTTGAACTTGTCGATCTTTGTTTTATGTGAGCAGCACACCAGCATGTCATTTATTGTTTTCATGTATTTGTTCATATTACCTCAAATTATTTCGTTCTGGGTTATACCGTTAATGCATAAATTGACTAAACACTAATGATAATTTATGAAATGTTATATTTTAGTGTGTTAAGCATTTTTGTAAATAAAGTGTTTAACTTAAAGGATATTGGATAAGAGAATCCTTTATTTACCAGCAGTGTGGTTTCAATTAGCTTAAAATATATTCAAGTAGTAAACTACGCTTCTAACAAATTAAAGCCATTCTGTATGTTTTCTTTTGCCGTACGTTATATGCTTAAAGACTCACATGAGAACAAAACGTCATATTTCATTCATTATATTTTATAACCGATAACCCATTTTTAAATGTTAGTTTAAACCGTACATATAAAATGCTAGATTTTTCAAATTATCTTGAAATCCCACGAACGTTTTTTCAAGCGGCAGCAGATAATAGATTTGATCGTTATTCACACAACAATGCAGCTACGTCAGCTCTCCCACACGTTTGCAGACAATGACATCCTTTCCACAGCAGAGGGGAGGCTATTGATAACCGTCGACGTGGGAAAATTGGTAGCCTACACCCTACGTTACGAGTATAGTTTTTACCAACTGAATGTAAAACGCATTTTTCAATTTGTTTCAGAGCGACGTCTAAGCTTAACTATCATTCCTTGGTATCCTATTGATACCGGTTGCAAGGACGCAGTTAAGACTATGGCGAATACCTCCACCAGCGTTAGCTAAGGCCAGAGCTTGAACCCATCATTCTGCAGCCTGACATTTACTACACGTGTGACAGAGGTGGAATCATTTTTTTCTTTCTCCGCTTATCAGGCAAATATATATGAAATAAGCTGTGTAGACACTATTGTGACGACAGTTAAACAAAAACCGAACATTTTTACCTGTGTGTTTGTTTATACACAAAAAGCAACACAGGGCTGAAAATCCAATTCGATTCAGTCGAAGTCAAAAGATTTTAAAAAATATTTTATCGTCACCCTTGTCATTGGTCCACTAGATCATGTGACAGTCAATTCACCCCCCCATCTTAACCTTATCCTTGTGAATTGAATTGGCATTCTTTAATAAATGCTAGCTCCCAAAATCGCGATAATTGTATTTTGTTTGTAAATTGAAATGTGCACTGTGTAAGATTTTGGGACCGAGTTCTTAAAACGCCTGAAAAGCCGAGATGAGCAAAGTGTTTGAGAGAGAGGTTGGATTTATTAACAGTGAACCGTCCTTAGCGGAGTGCTTCACATCCCTTCCTCCTCTTGGCGAGACATTTCAAAGTTCATCAATCAAAAACTCGTCGCTCTCAGATTCGACACTGATTCCTCCTCCTTGCGAGCAAGGATTTAGCATTCTGAACTCTGGAAACACATTTCAAAATGAGAGAAGCCCAACTTCACAAGATGTTGACAGCGCAGCCTTAGGCATTAAACCTTTGGAATACCCATGGATGCGAGAGAAGAAAACACATAAAGGAAAACAGGCTTCGCTACCAGGGGCATCTTCCTCTGGATCTTCAACTGAAGGTCGGTGCATTTTTGATAGGATCATAATAATTAAATGCGAGGATAATGAAACAGGAAAAAAAACAATATCAAAGAATTTTCAATGTGGCGGGTCAACTACATTCAATATATTTTATATATTCGATATATTTCTACTCATCCACTGCTGCTGGTAGTGTTGCTGTTGGCCTATGGAAATGTCTTGAAATGAATGCATAGTCCTTTTATTATTACAAACAATGCCATTTTGTCTGGCGCTCCAAGAAGGGCGGCCATTTTAATCCTTGTCATTATTATATGTCTAATCTGTTACATCCTTTATTTTAGACAACGAAGACTTTCAGGATAACTACGCCGCAAGTCCCTTTGACAACTCGAGACGACTGCGCACAACCTACACGAATACCCAGCTTTTGGAATTAGAGAAGGAATTTCATTATAACAGGTACCTTTGCAGACCAAGGAGAATTGAAATCGCAACTCTTTTAGATTTAACTGAAAGACAAGTTAAAGTCTGGTTCCAAAACAGGCGAATGAAGCATAAAAGACAATCTCGCTTCAAGCAAGGGAAAATAAATGAATCCAAAGGCATATTAAGTAACGGTGATAACAACAATGGCTTTCCTAGAGGACTTTCAGAGACAGGACTGAATCCGGATCCTTCGAAACAGCTCAAATTTGAAGATGCATCGAACGACCATACGTTATTGAGAGAAGCGTCTTCTTTGCCTGGAATCCAAAACGACGACAATTTCTTCATTTCAGACGAAACGGGGTACGAAACGGGAAACTCGTTCGAATGTTTAAATACCCTTTCGTTGGAGGATTTAGATACCATTTCAATTGACTCATTTACAGCAGAGCTCCCTAAACTTGGAGTAACTGACAATGACACAACGAACAGTGTTGCGGACACGTTTAATTTCTTGATTGAAAATATTTGTACAACAGATTTCCAGCAGCTGCAGTTTTGAACTATATTGTATGTACAAAACGAATGCCAAAATAAATTTGAATGAACACCCCTACGCGCCTCCTCTATCATTCTTTATCATTTTATTTTTTGTTTTAATTAATATATTCGAGATAAATAAATATATATTTATACTACAACACTAGTCTGACCACTTTTTAAGATTATTTAACCTAAAATAATTAGTTGTTTAAACTATTTCATTACATCCTCGTTTAGGACAACAAAAAACTTCAACCTAAAATGAGCTCTTCATTTAGTAGATTTATTTACTGAGGTACCGTAGATATTAGCATGCCCAAAGTAAAGGAAAATTAATGCTCTGCACCCATTATTTTATAATATAAAGATGCATTTGTAGGTTTGTAATCTAGCAGTAATAAAATACGAAGAAAATACTCTTGAAACCTATCATTGCACGTAGTTCTGTTACAAGTAATGGAAATTATACTTTTGTTTTATTTCAGCATCCTCTGTGAAACATTAATAACTACATTTTGCTTTTGGAGAACATTTTATGTTTAACGTGTAAACGAAGATTCAAGTTTTAAAGGCAGAGGATGGGAATTATACGTTTGCCTTAGGCCTACATCATAATATTTGTTATTGGGTAACGAAAATTAATACTATTCAAATATTGTTAATTACTTTGAATCTGTTTATCTTACTGATATGCAATTGATCACTGTACATATGTAATGCGTTAACTTTCTAAAATCGTATGAATTACATTAGTCTTTTTATATACATTATGATAAAATAATATAATGACATTAGCAAATCGAAAATTGAAACGAAATGATCACGTATACAGTAAAATACCACAAACTTGTATCTAGTATCTGTCTTTAGTTGTGAGCTACTTCAACAGTGCCTATTTGAAAATGTGAAGAGCTAAAACGTACATATAAATTTAGGAATAGTAAGGGAATAAATATTTGAAACACACGAATTTCATTTTATGGAAAGAAAGGTCAGCAGTATTTACCATCTTTCTTAGCAAATTGACTATTTCAAGACAAACCTTGGTGTGTTTGCACTTTATCGTGTAGGGCAATATATTTTATTAATTGGTCGTATATGTATTTTGTGCTGATAACGTATTAATGCTACACTTTACTAAATAAATATTTTAATGCATTAAACAAAGACAATGTGACGTTTTCTGGGCTAATTTCTCTGACTTGACTTAAAGAACAAGTGAAGTATGTATACCTGCATTCAGAAAAAGCAGCTATGGCACTTGTTTGTCTTAGTGTTAACTGTGTTGTAAAAAGCACCTCAGTTGCCTTTTTTTCATTAAATTATTTAATGGAGCAGGCTAGTTTTTTTTTTCCACAGACATTTCACTTGCCTTCCAAGTAGCCTAAAGCTATAGATCATTCTTGCGCTATAGTACAAGACACACAAAAGGCCAGCCTACACAATTCTTTGTTTTGAGGTGTTCAACCACAGCAGCTCACTGAATCACGTGACGTATATCCCACGAATAGTGAACTTAATAGTTCGTACTGATAAAATGTATCAATGTGAATGTTCAGTTTTCTTACCGCAAGAAAATACAGATAATATTCCTTGTACACATAGAGTGATCTGTATAAGGGAACGGCTCCAACAAACATGCTTTGGGAATGAACTAGTACGCAAGTGGCCTTCCAGAGAGCTCTCTTGTCAGTGGGGTGTTATTAAGAGTTCATCAATCACCGAGTGTGCACTTTCTGCTCGACAGCAGTCCCACCTCTTCCGAGCAGGACTGGGGCAGATGGGATGCGTCCAGACTTCACCGCCAAAGACAGTATTTCTGAAACGTACAAATCACGCATTTAATAGTCATGTAATGGTGTTCAAAATGTCCGGTGATGATGACGACGACGATGATAATATCAACAGTAATACAAACAATTCCCTCCGTTTTTCACAACCGACTAAGGAAGAAACAGTTCTTTAAACCAACACTCGGTGTAGAAGTTAAATGTTCGAGCTATAAAAGACTAATTGGGGTTACTTTAAAATTCGGTCATTAATTTGTCCAAGCAATATAGCAGAAACTTATTCTACATTTTATTACTTCTATGAACTGAATCAGGGATAAGAACGTGGATTTTAAGGACATACAGACCACCAACACGACTAAAGTGTACAACGACTTTTGTTTTAAACTAACAATAAACACACCTCCAGAGAAACTAACCAACTTGGATCTGCAACACACCAGCCTCCGTGTAAGAACATCTTGTCAGGTGAGTAAGCCAACTCCTTGAAAATGATACGAATAAGAAATACAGGCGCCAAAGATGAACACAGTGGATGAGAGCTGGAAATTGGGAAGCATAAAGCAATGTTTGTAAAAAAAAACTTTAGAATTCCTTGGTTTGTTTAAAGTGACCACAGATGTATTCTATGTGTAATGTGAGGTTAATAAACAAAATACCTTAATACAAAAGAAACAATATCCACACACAAAGTCGTTTGTGAGATGCCCTTTTGAAATTACATTTTAACACATTGCACATACAATTAGATATATTTTGCTCCATGCCTTACAGCATATGTATGGATCTACCATCCTTATCACCCCAGTCGAACTCCTATATGGTTGAAATAGCTTGGGATCGCTGCATGCACTCAAAATTATTTAAATGATATATCCGTTTTCAATTTCCAAGCTTGACATCCAGCTACTTAAAAGGGACTCGTGTGGCACATTTCAGGGATAAGAATTGTCAGAGACAACAACAGTGATGGACAACATTGTTTTTCATAATCACATTTTTTCAGGAGTCAGGGCCTTGGCGTCGGAAACAGGCAGGGGAAGGGATAAGAAAAATGTATTCTTATTTATTCTTATCGAGTCAGTCGTTGGTAGGACCCAAGAATGAAATGTTAGAGAATTGTTGTTTATATGAAGATTGCTGTGGAGAATACCTTTGAGAGCCGTGTTGACGTGTTCTGTTTAGACAAACTGTTTGATGGTAAATGTCGGCACTCTATCATTTACTTCAAAGAAAAGGGGAAATGTTTTTTAAGTGTCCTAAAGTGTCCCAATTAAAACAATGTAATTGTTTTATGTAACAGTTTGAATGTTTGAGCACTATGGTTTTTGAGTGTGTTTGACAACTAATGATGAGAGGAGAGGGAGGAAGTGATTAAGGATGTAGTGATGGGGTGTTAGAGGAATTGAGAGGGTAGGATTTACACCGCTTTTATGCTAGTCGTTTTACACTTCCCTGGGAACATTTCACATTACGTTGAACATTTTATGAAGAGAAAACTGAAAACATTGCAAGCTTAAAGCAACTGTAGAAAATCACAGCAATGTGGAATGCAATACCCCACAGATACATACTCTTTAAAAAACAATGAAAAGCATGTTTTGCTTTATCTAGCATTTTGTATTGATAACCTACTCAGAGTATAAATTGTTATACTATGTAGGCATGCCTTGTAAATATATGAAGGTTAAAAAAACTTGTTTTTATTTAAATGAAAACGATAACATAACATTGACTCTAGAAATAACGTTATTATAAAATTCTATTTAATGTTTCTTGAGATCATTTTCTCTGTATTTTTCAGGTGCGTTCTATTGCGAACCGAACCCTTAGGGGTTAATAATGCACGTGTCCTTTTGCACCGACTTCGTCACTGGAACTGAGAACTAGTTACATGAATGAACACATGTAACTTTATCAGTGATTGAGAAGATAGTTGAGCTTCTTTGAGCCAGGTGAGGAATTCTGGCTCTTCAGATGTTTTTTTTTTATTTAAGCGTTAAAAGGCATTAATCTTTAACTGATTTAAAATTACAGAAGTGAAACGCACGAGGTAATTAAGACGTATTACAGAATAAATACGACATGCAATATGTTCATTTCTAATTACCACATCACGCAGTGTGTTTCATGAAAATAGTCTTACCTGAACCTTCCGTTTACATTTAAAACTGCCCTGGGAATAGCAATGTATTCAGTGCTTATCTGTCTCCTGCTGATAAAGTTTCACCAACTACTGTTGGGAAATCCTGAAAGCATGAACGCGAACGACTCCAATCGTGCTCTGTGATTGGATCATGAAAGCACATGACCACGCCCGCTCCATAGCGGGCAATATTTACATCTTGAGCTTGGAAAGTACAGTAAGTAATCAGGAATAGCACGCAATCATTCACCTTTGTGGAGGATCATTGAGGGAAAAAATAATGAATACGTACTTTGACTACTTTTCCAGTGGAGACGTGTTAGGTTTGTCTGCAAAATGTTGTCACGGTGAGCACAGGTCTGTCCCGCTACAGAATTCATTAACTGGGGAGACTGTGGGGAGATTGCCAATAAGTATAAATGCCTTGGATCATCCTTCGGTGTCATCAGGAATGCTGCCTCCGAGCAGATTTGAAATCCCTTATGAAAATACTGCAAGTGGCGCCGAGATCAACTATTTTGGTCAGGGAATAGGCTACGATGTAACCTATGGATGTCACAACGAACTCGAGGACAGCGGGGCACATGTCCAGTACCTGAATTCTGTATACTCAGGAAATGGATCGTTCCCACTAAATCACGGAGAGACCTCGTACAGCGGTAATGTCGAGCAAGACCAATACAAGCACCATTCTAAAACATTACAGGGCTTTTGCACGGGGAGCTATCAAAGCCTTTCGTCTCCTCAAGTAAGTTACTCAAAACCCGAAGAGACACAAGTTGCTGCAAACACCTTCGAGTGGATGAAAATCAAGAGAAATCACCCTAAAACCAGTAAGTACTTCAAATGAGTAAAAACTTAATTACGTAGCTAAGGCAATACGCCAACTTTTTCAAACCAGGCTTCAGATTGCATGACCACCTGTGCGCGATGTCCGGAGACAGCAATTGATCTTCCTCCCTTGTCTGCCTTTAAACATACGAGGATATTAAGACTTATCTTTCCCTTTCTCATTTTTGTTTTCAGGTAAAACGGTCGATTATGGGTTACCGAGTGCCGCCGCGACAGCTCGAACAAATTTCACTACCAAACAGCTCACTGAACTCGAAAAGGAATTTCATTTTAATAAATATCTAACCCGGTCTCGGAGGGTCGAGATAGCCACCACCCTGCATCTTAATGAGACCCAGGTGAAAATCTGGTTTCAGAACAGAAGAATGAAGCAGAAAAAGAGAGAGAGAGAAGGCCTGGCGACTGTCCTTCCGCCTCACGTTTCGAAGAACTCGGACACTTCTTCCTCCGAAAACAATTCTCCATCTTCTTCCCCATCGTGTTCTCCCCAAACATCTGTGTGTTAACTGTGCATTTCCCAGGAGGGGCACAAGCCGCTCTCTGTGATTTATCCGGGTCCCAACATTGCCGTCCACGCTGGTAACATCCAAGGTTTTCACTGACAGCATACTCCATTATGATTGCTTGTTTTTTTTATTAACAGAATAGCTCACCTTATGGTTACGGCTTTGACTTATTTCTAGAAATAAGGATTTCGCAACGTCCTGCCAAACATGGCCCGCTCCTCATTCTAATGTAATTGTAATCGTTTACAACTTGTCTTTCAGGTCGTTGGTTTCCTTTATTTGTCGCTTCATCGTATTAAAAGCACAAATGATGTACACAGTAAATACAGTAATTATCCCTTGCACTGATCTTTTTTTAAATGTTAATTTATATCTGTGTTTGTAAATATGGTCTGTTTTGTATTTTAAATTTTAAGTTGTCAAAGACAACGTGTTGACTGTGTTGGATTTAAGAATGTATTATGCCTAAACCAGATATTGCCTTACCAGATTCTACTACGTGGCTTTAATAAGTGTGCATCATTCCTGGTATTTAAGAGTGGGAGGTGTTGCAATTTACAGGAACTTAATTTCACATATTAAAACGACTTCCATTTTCACGGTGAGAAGTGTTTAACACTCTATAACGAACCAAAGATTTAAGAATTCTGTTTTAAAAACGATTACATTTGTTGGACCAAATCAGGTTATCCTCAGGAACACCTTCATATGATATGAAGTTTGCACTATAGAAGCCTCAGGTTCAAAGGTTAACTTGCTGCTACAAGTGGTCTATTGTTGTAGGTTCAATGTCGATTCTTTTTTTAATACTTGGGACACTGACTTAAAAAACAAACAAAAATGTGTATTCCGTTGTGATACACGACTAGTTCAAAGAGTTTAACATCAGCTTTAAAACCATAAGTTTTATTTAATAGGTAATTACATGTAATTTTACTTGAATATGTAAACCACGCTTTTTAAAATAAACGGGTGTTTAACAGAAAGCTTCACTTTGTTGTTGTTGTTTTAATCAGTGGTGATAAGTAGCTTGCGTGAATCCTGATGGAAAAGGAAGAAAAAAAATGTTTTAATGCAGGTTGTACTAAAAGTGTTGAACATATGATGAAAATTCTGTTTAAATTTCTGTTCTATTTTAAAGAGATACGGGAATAATATGAGAATAACGACACCACATATCCACAGTTGTTGCTTTGCAAACTGGTATTTAAATACTAGCACAAAAAATGTTGATTGTAATTTGATTCTTCTGTCGCAAATTACAGAGCTGGATTTCGGCAGAGGTCACGCTACCTTTATTTATCTAGAAATGTAGTGCTAGACTCGCATATTTCGAGCTCCTTTGGCCATGAGCTAATAAAATATGTTATTTGTTGTCTTGGACCTTTCAAGTCATTTTGTACAGGTCGTATAAAAGTATGTTAGCTGGTCTGTGTTTACAGTCGGTTCTCAACGATTATGTCGTAGTGACTCGATTAAAAATTATTCAACATAGTTTGGGATTTTTCTCTTACTGAAGCTAATTGATCTTTATTATTGCTAAATATGTAGTTGTTATGAATGAGACATTTAAATTTAGGGACTGTGTTACTTTTGTATGATAAAGTGTGGAGACCGGCTCCTATGGCATTGTGTCAAACAGGACATTTCACTGCGTCCCTCTGAAAAGCTCACTGGTCAGCATTCTTCGGCACTTTTTGTGTTAATGAATTGTACTAAAACAAAACAGAAACTCCATGCTGAGGGCGGTATTTCAAAGGCCCAGTGGTCTCAAAGGCTCTCTTCGGGATTCTCCCCATGGTTCTCTGATACCAGAATTATTAGCAAACATTATTACAAGGGTGTAACGTTTAATATGTATTACGTATGGGTTTCTATCTGCAGATAATGGATCTTAGTTCGTGCTGAAATATTATATATGGCGCGCATTCACCTACACAGCCTAATCCATATGCTTGTAAAGGTAAAGGTATTTCTCCTTAGAAAAGCCTATTGTGTGGGCCCTTGATATCACCCCCACTGTTTTCCTCCTTTTACATTGTCAGTCTCTGATCCTTGTCTGTAGTACGTCTTTAAGCCTTTGATGATCAGAGATATGTTTAAGATTACCATACAAACAATAGGTAAAACTGTTCGGAGATCTGAAGGCATTGTGAAACCCACAGTTGCGTTGTTGCACTTGTTTGATATCCAGGTTTTACTTCAGAGGAGCGGAAGAACCACGGGCATCTTGTAAATGTTTGAGATACAGTGCCCTTCTTTTCTCCGGGGGGTACCGGGTCATCAAAAGTTCACAGCCTAACTAACCAAAAGGTTAGTAGACGTGCAAGTTTACACACCGATTATTAATTAAGGCAGGCAGTTTGAAGATCTTTACTTATGAATCAAATTTTATTTCCTAAAAGTGAAAAACAGATATAGTGTGCTCATCTATCGACTTTCTTTTTCTGTTCTAGAACGACGTGAAGTTCTTTTCAAAGATTTACGTCTTCTAGGAGTATAGCGATCCTTTGAATGCTTTGTGAAAGAAATAAGACTTGCAAATCTTGGGACGGATCAGATATATGAATGAAGAGAAAAAAATATAATTACCAGATTTTTGTTTATTATTTTAATATATACAAACTATAAAATTAAGTAGGCTTAAGTACAAGGTAAAGGTATATGTACGACAGAAGCAAAATGTTGTTCCTAGGCAAACTGGTAGAAAAGTAGGCTAGACCTACATGTACAGCCTTTTAAAAGTACTAAAATTCTTTTCTTCAGGTAGGCTATATCATTTCCCCTGCCGCAGAAGCGATTTTTATTTTTACAGGTTATACTTTTTAAGTGAGAAATGGAAATATATAGCTAATTTAATTTTTGTAATCTAATTTAATTCTCGAAAAAGAAAAGACAAATAGGTATAAGGATTTTAAAATGTAATGTTAATTATTATTGCAAAACGCTTCCATACGCTATTCTTTTTGATGAATTGGGACTTAGGTTAAACGATTTAAAGAGATAAATCTTTTTGCTTTTTTAAGTCAGGTTAAAGCGAGTTTGATTTCCTTAATTAGTTCTTTTACTATAAAATATCTATGTGCCGGAGAAGCATTTCTACATTATTTTATTAAAGAACACTCGACAAATTTAGTTTTTTTTTTTGTAAAATCATTTTTAAAGAAATTATACAAATATACAAAAAAAGAGGAAAACAAAGAACACGTCAATCAAAAATTAAGAGTGTAATAGCACTTCAATATGACAATTATCTTAATTAGAATTACCGATTACACAACTGAAAGAACGAAAGGTCGTAATAGAAAACTTTAAGCATGTAGTAACAATTTCATGTGCTATACAGCAGAGACTATATACGCTTTTTAATCATTGAAAATGCCATTGAATTTAGGTAGGGCGTCCAGACTTACAAGAGTGCAAACCTCCTTTTCCAAAATGTCCTTTCAAGCTTAAATACACTTACATTACTATTATACTTAAAATGTAATGTATAATTGGTCTTCAGTTCTTAATGTCACTATAGTGGGTTAGAATCATTCTCACAAATTTTTAAAGGAATTCTATTGTTTGAACAGAAGAAGCATGATATAATTCTTAAAATATTATATAATATATTAGCAGAATTGTAACGTATTTCCACCAAAAAGTTACATCAGTTTTTAACCTTATATCAGGTTCATTGTCTGCTTGGTTACAGTTAAAAGGCTTGCCTAAATATGATTCTTCATAACAATACATCCGTAATTAAAAAGTTTACATTCGGGTGCTGTGCCTTTAAACACAGCTTCATGCAGAAAAAGTCTTCACAAGCCTACTACTGTGTTTTTCCTTCTGTGTTCATAGTGGATATAGCCTCAGAAAAGTCAGGTAACCTGCTGTAGCCCGACCATTTTAAGTAAATGAGCACAATCGTCCACAGAGTAAGGTAGACCAAAAGAATACATTGACCTACAAGTTTCAGTTGTTCTTATTGATTGCCTCGTATTAAAAATAAAGGAAACATGTACACATGGAGGAAAAAGAACGAAGCTGGATGAGTAAAGAGGGTCAGGGAATGAAGGCTATGGAGAACCTGCTTACATTCCTGAAAATCTCACAGATGAGGGAATTATTTCTGCCAGAGCATACCGATATTTTCATGAGGACCAAGTCATGAGGATCTACCTGGTGTTAGCAGTTACACAATGTAAATGATTAAAAATGATTAAAAAGGGATTTGTAATATAATAACATATAGCACTGAGACGAGTCATTTGGCCCACGAAGTCTGTTTAGTTTTCATTAGCTGATTAATTCATGGATCTCATCCAACCATTTCTTGAAAGAAGCCAGACCTTCAACAACATGGCTGAATAGCTTGTTCCATTTCCCTACGACTCTTGAAGCAAAGCACAGTTTCAAAGTTACCAATCGTTTTTCATTAAATCACTTTAAAATACAAATTTCTGTAGCAACCACACCTCTCTTTAAGCACCCATAACAATAAAATTCTGGCTTAAAATCTAATACATTAAGGGTATGAAGACCACAAAACACACTCTACCACAACAGTTTTATTGCTATTCCAGTGTAAGGATGACATCAAATCCAAGCTGAATTGCTTTAACTGTTTAAAGTAATCAAATTGACTATAAAAGCAGTAATAGTGTATTCAATACTGAAGAAAACTCTGGATTGCTAACATTTTAAATGTTACACTGAAGTATTCTTGTATTAGTATCGTAACCACCAGTAGAGAACCTCCTTAGTGAACTTGCATTCATCACTGTTGCTAACGTTTACTAGAACTCATTGAAACCATAAATTGGTATGGGAACCAACTTCACTTGTTTCATTTTAATGCCTGTCAGTATATAAATGGTCTGAATCACCACTGAATGTCACATACTTTGAGACTGTCAAGTTTAAATGGAATCAGTGTCTTGTCAGATATATGTACCCTTCAGATCCTCTGCTCCTGAAAATGATATTGAAGATTATTGTAGGTCTGTTTTAGAATTAGAGAAATATTTTAATGGAAGGAAAACACATTTTAAAATAAATCCCAGTACTGGGGACAGCACATTTGTGCATCGAAGTGTAGTATTTTCTAACTATATATTTTAATGACATACATTATTACTCATATTGCTTTAAATGTGCTCTTGAACATAGTGAAATAAAGATAAACAAAACAAGTAAAATAAATAAAGTGCAGTATAATATGCAATGTTAAATATATGTCTCATAAAGTGTACACATTTATTCACATGCAATAAATCTTTACAAAATTGCCAACATGAATTATTGTTGTAACTACACACAATTCCTTTTTAGAATTTGGCTCAGATTGATATATTTCTTTGTTGAGGTGGCAAAAAATTGATGCTGCACCAAACTTCAGCTGAGCACTAGCCTTATAGAAAGTGGTCAAAATTGGATACCTTGCAGAAACAGCAGGTGATAAAGACTGTGATCCAAAATCAAGAGCTATTTAACTGGATACATAATACGCAGTTTTCCATGCTTACAGAAAATTGACTATTTACTATCAACAATGGTAAGAAGCAATATCAAGAGCAGTCCTGTTACACACAGGGAAACAAACGATTCCTTTGCATATTATTTTGGTCCACTACAGATTATACCAGTTACTGGTCCTTCAACAGGCCAAGAACAAGTAGATACAGCATCAAACTGTAAATTATGCACAGACTGCTAAATTCAATTAAAATTACACAGAAGGCTAAACATTTTCTGTTTCATCAGTAAATTTCTGCAAAAAGGACATCTGAAATGAAAAAGATTGCTATACAATATGAATCTCATTATAAAATACAGATTCACAAACTGTGTAAGAGAATGTGTTCCGGGTCAGGCTTTGTTTGTGCTCACCAAATGAAGGCTTTATGCTCAAAACATGGAAACATTACTGAAAATGGGATTTCCTTAAACGGTGTTGACAATAAAAGTTTGCATTCAACCATCCAATCTCAGTTTTAGGTATATTAAATGTTATCTGTTCAAGGAAACAAATCTAATCTGGAAGTAGGGTAGCTGAAGAAATAAATCAGATGAGAGACAAATATGCATGCTTTCAAGTCAGAGCTATCCTTGAAAAATTTAAAGGGGCTGGGTTAACTATCGTCATCGTAAGGTTAAATCTTTATCCACACATTTACAAATAATCTAATTTAAATACAGCAATACTGGATTATACATTCAGGGACGCCAGGAAACTGACTGAAGAATGAGAAATATCTTCCTGGACCTCTCTCCGTGATACAGTCACCCAGATAATTTATGCTGAGGGAAAAATACTTGCAGTTAAAATTAATTTCAGAAAAGAAAACTAGATATCAGTCGTGTTTATTGTGTTGATTAATGCGTTACTGGTATTGAAAAAATGCTAATATTACATAAAACAATCAATAAACCCACGAATATATAATGAGACAAGCACAAAACATTTGTTATAAGTGGACAATCAAAAACACCTAAAGAAAATAGTTTATCAATCTCCCTAATGCGCCGTACGTCTTTTCATCTGCTTTTGCAACTCAATAGACAGTATCAGCCGCTACTCGCGGATTCGAGTTTTCGTGTTTTTACATTTGAAAAGACAGTCAAGATATACAGTCTCGGAACTGTATCTCCAAGGATTGATAAAAACAAGTATTAACGCTGTCGAGGATAATGAAGAAAGCTCCTCAAGAACAAATATCCAGTAATCTCTGTACACAATAATCCGGAAGAAGAATGATTGCAGTGCACCAGGAAGCAGTTGATCGAATGCGTGTTTATGCTCGTCTTTCACAGGGTTCACATCCTGAAGGCTGCTGTGCCCTTATCGTTGTCCGCTGCGGTGAATAGTGCAGTACAGTTTTTCCTTGTCTGAGACATTGTATTTCTAATCAAAAAGTGTAAATTAAAATTTTCGAGTTCATCTGTCATCATGTCTCTTGCTGCAGAGGCGTTTGTATCCCAAATAGCAGGTAATAACGCTTATATTACCGTAAGTGATAACTATGTGTTGCTCATATACTTTTACGTACCAATTACATATGTTTTAAATATGAGAACGATTTTCCCACAAAATAAATTCCTGCTCATGTATGACCTAAGAATGTAGTATCTCAACGATTTAATTGTTGCCTGACTGTCGAGCAATCCCATTGAGTATATAGAACTTGATTATCTTTTAGTATAGTCTATATTAAACAAAATGCAATTATCATGATATATCATTATAAAATGTGCAATAACATTCACGTCGAAAGGTTATAGAGTAGTTTAATATCGTATTTCAGCGTCAAACACCTAGCCCTCATATATAAGGTCGCAGAACAAAATAGTTTGTTCCTAACAATAAGGGGGTGAATTTTTATTACTTTGGCTTAGAATTAAGTTAACTGGGGTGTGATGAACATGTGTCATGTTCAAAAGTATAACAGGATGGTTGTTATTGTTTAAAACAAATGTTAAATTTAATGGAGACTGAGGTATTATCAATTAGTGTGTCATTCATATTACATAGTATCACTAGGTGTGTAACACTAAACAGTAGGAATTCTACAAAAGAGATGGGGAATAGAGTTTAATACGGTTTGTTTTTGGTGTAGCCGCATACAAAAAGTGACTTGAAGGTTATAACACTATTGGATTAAATCTTTGGTTAATTATGGAAGAGAGGATGTTTGCGGGGAAAAAAAGTGTCCTTTAAACTTGAGTATAAAAACTCTTGTCTTTAAAATACCCATTTACTGTCTCTATTTTGTATGCGCTCAGAGATTTAATTATCAAGGCTGTTCCAAAGATGATGAAATCAGTAGCATGTTGACATATTATAATGTATTTAATGGTTTAGGAAATTATTTTATAGTTTCTGCTTTCTGTTTTAGCAGATACATTCATAGACTGTGAAATATTGTCAGGCATTTCTTTAAAAAAAACAAATTTCAGACATATAGGAATGGTGTGCAAGTGTGATGTAACGTTCTGTGTAGTACCCATACCCCCACCACCATTTTACCATACATTTTTAAACAGAAAAATCCTACAAAATATCCACCTTCGAATGGTGCTTAAACCTTTGAGTTGTATCCTGGAAGCCAGACTACAGTACCTCTGTGAAAACTGCCACAAAAGCCAGTTCCTTTTTGTAAAAATAAAAAGAAACTGAAACTCTACTGCAATTAAAGCGTACCATGAGATCAAGGAACTCTCGAAAGTCACATTTATGAAGGAATAAAGTTAAAAAAAAACATTGCAGGGAAGCTGGCAGAGAAGAGCTGTTCCCAGGATGTAAAAAAAAAAAATCAGCAGCCTATCATGACATCCCGCGTGACATATCTCCAAATATGTTTGCTTTATTCCATGACCTGGAAGCAGACAGTCCAGACTTGGAATTTCAAGTCAACAGCATCCAGAATACCACCGTTACAGGCACTGAAGTCCAAACTCCAGCCATATCAACTTTAAAGCAGAACTGCAATGCTAGTTTTCTGTTTCAGGGTTAGAAGGAATCAGCATTGATGCGTGCATTTCAAAGCACAAAAAAAGTAAGATGTACACAGTAGCTCTAATTTACATCACAAAACAGATGAAGGTTCCAGGTATGCACAGCACCATAGTCTGCGATTCAGAATGAGGCAACTGGTAATGTGAAGTGGCCCTATGACATTGTAAAGAAGCAGGTTTGTGAATCCAACTCTTTTAACCTAATAGAAATATTGCTCTTGACTTCTGCCGACAAATACTACTTACTTGTTAACTCTGCATGCAGATCACATTGGAGCATTTCTGTGGTGAAATGTCTGTTGCACAACCTGTACTTATTTGCACCCACATCACATTCCAGTAGTCTTGGCAGTGACTAGTGAGCAGGAAGGGCTGTTTCACATCACAGCACGCACAAACCCGTGCTCTTGCCCAAGGCGGGACCAGGAATTGCGACAACATGGTGAGCTACGGTACTTTCACCACAAAGGTCCCCGTTTTGTGCTTAGTTTGAAATTCGTCAATTTCTTCTATACCGTTGGTGAATTTATTTTGTTACTGAGATTTAATGACCGGTCTGAAAAAATTGGGACTGCAGTTCCCCTTTAATTACTGCCAGGACTAAACAGAAAAAGACTTTACTTTCCCAAATGCAGATAGTGAGGTATGCATCAAGGATACCAAGTCAACAACAGTGTTGTCTGCATGTACTGTGGCCGTGGTGGCTGACATCATCCAAGGTGTTCAGGCTCCCAGGAATAAACCCAGTTAATGTTGATGTAATAAAAAGCGACATAAGCAGCCCTCTTTCCTTAAGAAAGAAATTCAAAGACTTGGGAAACAAACTGAAGGCTAGGACTAAATTAGTGCTTTTCTCAAAGACACTGCCTGACCGTATGAAAGTGAACAAAAAGAAACGCTAGAGGACATGGTGTGTTGAAGAAGACTTCAGCATTTTCAGCTATCAGAATCCTTGATGTAGCACAGCCCATCTGTGCAGACAATGTGGATTCCATCTGAATGAGATGGGGCCATGAGGGCCTGGGGCAAGACTCTATAGAGGGATTCGACGAACGTTTTTACTAGAATAGAAGGTGAGAGGAACCATAGGAACTCTGCAAAGGAGATACACAGTGAGTAGAGTGAGAAGGAGAACCCAAGAGACAAATTTGAAAAGCACTTGCCTGTCTGTTGAGAAGATGGTGAAGGTGGATTCATCTGCCTTTGCTCTCTGCACCACTGGACTCGCAAATGTGCATTGTCAGCTGTGATAAGCGTTTTCTTTGTGCTGCAACCTGACTATGGTATCCTGCTCCTTGGAGTTCTCAATGGACAGTTTTTGGTGAAACCGGCTCCTCGTGCACCAGGTTGTAATTTGCAGTCAGTTGCTGGCCTGATTTGCATTGCATTTGTGATAACGCGCAGATATCACAATCCTGCCACACTGTTGGTCTTGAAACATCAGCAAACTGAGCTATCTTGGTCACTAAAGCTAAACCCACTCCAAAAGTCACCTCTCTTTTAAAGTCACCAGTGTCTCCTCTTTCAACGATGACAGCCGTAAATATAGCCAACCAGGCCTGTCCAGCATTTTTATACATGACCCTCAGTGTACTAGGATGTTGCTGAATTAACACATAAGCCACACCTGTGTGGAAGCCCTTGTTTTCAGCACACCTGGTGTCCCTCGTTTAACCATGTGTTTTCATTTTTTTGTCCACTACTTGAACATATAGGATTCAGACACATACAGCTAATCCAATTTAATCAAAGTTCTCAAAATCTATATGAATTGGACTTATAAAATATTCAAAGGGCATAGTGTAAGGTGTATTTCATATTTGTATATAATAAAATGTTGGATGTACTGTACGCAGGAAGAGGGGGTTATTGTGGGTTGATTTTCATTTTTCTCTCATACTTTGGGATGTCAGTAGCAGAAAACTAGAGTAAGGAAATTTGGATTGAGAACCGGATAATGGATGAAAAACAAACTACATATTAGAAATAAATGCTTAAACTAAGTGTAAGTAATTGTGTGTTTGGGCCACTCCTCTTCCTAATTTATATTAGTAATCTAGGTTACGGTTCAGTTAATAAAATACTCAAATTCACAATTGACACAACAATAAGTGTCACGGACGTCCAAAGGGACTAACCGTGGGGAGCAGGAGAGCAGAAAAAGACCCATATGCGTAGCGGCGAGACGGGAAAAAGGCCCGGGCTCATTAGTGCAAAGAGTTCAGGAATGCCGTATAGAAACCTATACCCTCAGGGAGCGGACGTGGGGCGCCCTGGTGCTAGGCGGGTCTCAGGACATCCGAACGTCAATGCTGAGCCCGGACAGAGTGCAAGACCCGGAAATATATAGCCCAAGGGAAAGAGAGGGACAGGAAGGACAGCAGACCGGAAATAGGGACATGACAGAGAAGGAGCGCCCTCTGGCTGCAGAGGGCATGACAATAAGAAGATTAGCAAACTCTGTAGAAGCTGAAGAAAAGAGAACTTTCTAAGGTGGGCAAACATCCAGCACATGACATTTAATGTAGGCAAGTGCAGAGAGTTGCATGAAGATAGCAGAAACATAAGATATAAACATCAGATGGAAAATGCAGAAATTAAAGAAGCTTCTTATGAAAAAGCATTATGTACCCGAGTCCTGAAGTAGAAGAAAACCCAGCTGGTATGTGGATCTGCAGGTCCAGGCCTTACAGAGACCACAGCAGACTGCCGTCTCCTGTCAACTCGTGCTGTCTCCACAACAGCCAGACTCTGTCCTATCCAGTAAAGTGTCATCCATGTTGATGCAGAAATTGCAGTAGTGCAGTCTAATGATGTGTTGTGATGTTACCATTACTGGGGCACCTGGTGACTGTAACTGTAGTTGTTGATTTGTATAAGCAATCCATCTAGTGCTCTGTCTGGGTATTATGATCCTGGTTTTGATGTATTACAGTGGTTGACAGGGAGCAGTCTGATAATGCATGTTTCCCATCAGTTTATTGAACTGTTTTATGTTTTGCGTATCACGTTTTATTCTGAAATTCTAAAGAAGTCCACTGGGTTGACTTTGTCAAGGGCCTTTGAGGATTTTGCTGGATAGATAGACCATGAATGCCCTAGAGGTCTCACATTGCTGCCATCCACATTCCCTGAGTGCATTTCCTCTGTGTTCGACTGAGTCATTGAAGTTTCATTAAAGCCTGCCAGTGTTTGTGTTTCATCTTTAATACTGTGCTGCCACCTTACAGTGTGATCGTGTTGTGTCTAGGAAGCAAAGCAAAGGCTGGGCCTTTTCAGTTCTGGGTTTGGAGTTTCCCAAGGAAGACCAGGCTACAGAAGCCAGTGGTGCTATTTCCAAACCAATGCCCTAGTATGGTGATAGTCGATAGTCAATGGTGATTAGTCACTATAATAATAATAATAATAAACTTTATTTTATATAGCACTTTTAAAGGTGGCTTCTCAAAGCACTTTACAGGATGACAACAACAATAAATAAGAAGAATACACAAGATAAAACACAATTACAATATATAGAGGAGACCATGGATGGTGGTACAAGGAAAAGCAGAGGGGTGAAGAATGGAACCAGTTAAATAAAGGCTTTTCTGAAGAAGAGGATTTTGAGTCTGGATTTGAAGGAGTTTAGAGGAGGTGACTCTCTGATATCCTTGGGGAGAAAGTTCCAGAGCTTCGGGGCATAACAGAAGAAGGCCCCGTCACCCACGCAATGTAGACGGGCTTGGGGGACAGTAAGGAGAGCAAAATTAGAAGAGCGAAGGTTGCGAGGTGGGGAGTAGGGCGATAATAGTTCAGACAGGTACTAAGGTTTAGAGTAGAGTAGAGGTGTAGAGTAGAGGTGTTAACCCAGGTGCCCTGGCTTAACTCCACCCTGGCCTAATTTACTCAGGTCCACCTGAAGTTCCCCCTTAATTAAAGTGGTAAAGTCATTTCTCACGTTCTATCTGATCTGCTGTGTAGTGGGGCTGCTGGTATAAATGGCTGCTATGAATCACCCAAATGGGGGCTGCAATTCAGTGGTGGATGAAGTGGGTCACTGCCTAGATGCAAAGTGCTTTGGGATCCTTCGGGATAAAAAATGCTGTATAAATTCAAGAAATTATTAATTGTTTTGTGCAAACACGGAAGCACACATTGCCCGCCATACGAGTTGTCAGACTTTTTGTCATTTTCTTGCACAGGGAGTGCAAAAACAAATACTTAATATCGCCAGCATTTCTTACATGTATCTCACCTCCTCTGATAAGGTGCTCAAACAGGTCAGAGTAACGAAAACTTCTAGTAGGTCATAGCAGAGTTTGTACTGCACAGTGGTGGGACTTCAGGGTGTGCCTCAGAGTAAATGGAAAGGTCACATACGAGTCTGACAAAATGAATGTATTAAACAGTGTTCTATATGTTAGTTTTGTGGAGTAACTAGTGTTGCACGTCGGGTGTCCGTGCACGAGACCAAAGGCTGGTTGTGTGGGGTATATATTTGTGGTGCAATGTATTTTTTTAAGCATGATGTACATAAACAACAAAAATGAAGAACATCTGAGAGCAGTTAATCAAGAACTCCCATGTTTCACATGGCAATAGCAGTATGCTTGGGCCAGTGACTGTTGTATGAAAGAGATGCAGCATACTACAAAATGTTTGTATTTCTCTGAAGTATTTCTCTTTGTAGTATATACAAAGATAAGAAACAAAGGGTTACAGTATAAGAATTACGAATGACAAGGGTGTTGAATTTCCAGAGTTTTCCCATTTTTGAGACCAGAAGCAATGGATCCTTTCTTATTTTTTTTAAATTTTCTATGAATTTCTTGAAAGAATGATCCCCATTTATTTTAGATTGGATAATATAAAATTCCACCTGATGGGATTATAGAGCTGAAAAATAACATGATTTCATAATTAAGAAACTGAATTTGTTTTAAAATCAGAAGAAATTGGGTATAATATAATTTTCATAATGTACATCTGAATGTACTTAATGTAAACCTTTCTGATTTTTGCATTTTTGTAAAGGCACTTTGTGGGTGGGGATGACATGGTGGTGCTACTGTACATCTGAAATCATTTTAACTGCTTAACTACCACAGCGTCATTTTTCAATGACCGAAGGAAGAAGGGATTGAGAAACTTGCCTTCTGTTTAAATTGAACATCAAATACAGTAAAAAGATGTTTCACAGTGAAATATACAAATGTGTTTTGATAGTTTTTCCTGGGACTGAGGATACTGGTAGCCTATGCTTTAAACCATGTTTCTTAATCCAGGAATTTTAGAAGAATGTTAGTTGTTTCATATCCACAGTAAGGTTGACTAATCTGCTAAATACGTTTTAGAAGAAGTTGAGAATCATAAGTATAAGAATATTTTATGATTAAAAAATGATTAATGTGACTCCGGTCCAGGGATGGGGTCTTATTGTGTGTTTGTTTGGGTGTGTGAACCCATTGTGGATTCAAGGTGGTCATAGTGGGGTGGTGTGGGGTGTGTGATTGGTGTGTGTGAAATCCCCAAGGGGTTCGACTGGGGGGAGGAAGGGCATGAAGTCATCAGAGATCTTAGGGGAACAGGGCAGTTGTAGACGTTTCAAGAAGGGAACATCCATTTGTGATCAGGACACTTTTGTTACTAGCAGCATAGTTGGGGCTTTGGGGTCAGGATCGGGGAGTCATGGGTTCCTGTGTTGGGTTGGGTGCAAGGTACCTTCCACAGAATTGCTGCAGGAAATCTTCTGCCACCTTGGGTCTCCAAATTGTATTCGAGGATTTGTTCGCTGTTGGCTTACCTAGCAAAATAAAGAAATAATAAAACATGGGGAGGCTTAGCTGCACTGTTTTTGCAAGGCAAACACCACCCCCAGTGCAAACCCTGGGCACACAGTATAAAGCACTGAGTATCTCATGTCTGTTTCAGGTATAAATAAATGTAATATGACATTGACCCGTTCAACGATAAACTCTGCATTTTCCAAGTTAACATACTTGTTTTACAAAAAATGTGAAGACATTTTTCAGGTTTCAAATCAACCCCCGTTAATGTGAAAAGAGGCAAAATGGAAGCACAAGCAGAGTAATATGGGCTAAACAAGGAGAAGCACTGTGCCATGTATATTCGGTGCCATGCGGCTTCACTGTGCAGTGCCTAGTTAATTATGTATGCCGTTTGTTTCATACAGCTGCAGAGCCTTGGCCTGAAAATGCAAAACTGTATCAGCCTCTGAAGGGTAAGTAATTCATTTTGCAATTAACAGTGCAGGGATTTGGGCTACAACAAAAAAACAAGGTTTTTCTATGTAGTGTCACAATCTATCGAATTGCTGTGAAGAGGAATGCACAACGAACAAGACGAGCATATTTATGTAGATTTCTTTTTCCAAATAGAAATGTGCTGGATAAATACATATCCCCCACCCACCCCCTCTTTTGTTAAAATCTGTAGCATGCCTGAGGGGGTACTTTGGTATGTTATTGACCTGTTCTGTTAGCTGCTGTGGGCAGAATTAAATGATGCAGTAGGAGGGAGGGCCTGGTAGATTTACTGCACCAACAGCTGAGGCAGCAGATCTTTGAAGCTTTGTGGTGAAGCACAGCTCTTCATTTTTTTGTCAAAAAAAAGGGAAAAAATACCGTTAAAACACACCAGGAAGACTCAGCCTGGCTTTAGCAGCTCTTCATATATCATAAGATCACATTATAGCCCCCATTTGGGGCTCAGCAGCATGCTACAGTTGTCAGAAGACTGCAAAGTAATGAAGACTAATAGTTACCAGCCCCAGTCCTCTAACCAGATATTTTTTATTGCGGCAAACTTGTCATCTTTCTTTTCCTGTGTCAGCCTGAGATGAGGTTTACGGCATTCATTTATGAAGGTTTTTACACTCTGCCTGTTACTTTCAAATATCTCTTTAGAGAGGTATGGACATATATATTAGTGTGGGTCATTTCAAAGCTTAGCTAATATATAAAATCATGGTAGTGTTATTCAAGGGTTATACAAACTCTAAATGATATGTATTTCACAACTTGATATCAAGTGCATGGCACTATACATCTTTTTTGTGAGTCAGGACAGTGTTTTTAAAGAAGTGCTTTTTTTTGCAGATGACCAGATATTGCTGTCAGATCATGCCTCATCACTTGCTGTACAGGTAAAATAAATACATAATTATTATTGTACCGAAAGCATCATTCTCTGACTATTGATGTGTTAAGAGCTAAACCGGTCAATCTGGGGAATTCTGGTTTTGCCTGAATCGAATTCTGCTTGGTGACAGAAAATCTGCAAAAGCAGATCTTTTCAGCTAATTGTCTTCAATCAGTGGGGGTGCATCTCAGGTGGGCCAGAACTTGAAAGATATAAATGATCACTGATTGAACTTCTGTATTTGCCTGGCAAATCTCATTTCATCTGTTTCAGAAATGTTGTTGGGTGATTTTGTTTGACCTATACCAGTCACCTGAACAACTCCAGCCTTACTGGGCTGTAGATTCTAAGTGCAAGTCAGGGTACTTGCTGGGGGTTTTCCAATGGAGGTGAGAAAATGGCAGGACAGCTCATCTGGTTTTATTTGGGGTTAAAACTACTCATTTTACTAGCTTTATGAGCTTTGTCTCTACCAGTCCATGGTCAAAAAGTTTCACTCCTCCATATACGCAAGCAAACAGTTCATGCACATGAGAAGAGAGACTGTAACATGCATGCAAACTCTCCAAGCAAAAATGGAGATTGACGAGCTGAGTTTTATATTCCAAAGTTTGAACAGAATTTCACTTTTACACTTCAATGGCTAGGAAAAAAATTACGAAATAAAGTTGAAATGGAACAAACCACAGTATGTATTGTTTATTTTAGTGTCATTATTGAGGAATTTAACAGCCTGCATGGATGTATACAGCCTTCAGATCAAATGCTGATAAAATTGAGTTTGCATTAAATCCCTTGAGTCCAGAATCGACTTTCTATTTTATGTGCATGTGTGAAAAAGGGAGTTTCAAGTAATTCTGGAATTCTCTAAATATAGATTTTTATTTTTATAGATTTAACCTTTAATATATACATATGCTTCATTTTTATGGCTTGAAATGAAGAACTGTTGTTAGTTGAGATCAGAAACTTTGCATTCAACCGAGAAACAAAGAGATTCTTGTTTGACTGTTTTTCCAATTAATTGTAATATTACTGCCTTTTTATTGCATTATAAATATTAACAGAACAATGAATCTCATGTGCATGTGTTAAAAGTGTGTGTATGTGTGTCATGATACTAGTTTTATGTGGTATATATTGGAGAAGCAAAGTGTATGGACTTTATGCCTTGTTTTTTCATCCTATTTGACTGTCAAAGCAATGCATAAAAGTCATTTAAAAAATAATATGCTTAAAACCCACTTCATCATGCCTTTGTTATTGGATTGAGGACATGGACTCCTAAGTTTTTATATTGCCGAGCTTTGCTTATCATAAACTGGTTACTCCTGGACTCCTGAAATTTAAATGCTTTTCTTGAAAGGCTCATAATTTCCTCACCAACCAAAAGACAACTTACTGATTAAGCAAGATGGGAGTAATAAATAATCCCTTTCTTGTCCATAATATTTTAGACCAAAATATATTAAGAGTCCCTTTTCACTTTCCTGATACCCATATGAGCAACCTTTATAGCATTTTCAATATGAAATTATGGCTGAATAAATTGCATCTTCATTTATCTTCGAGACCCCTCAGTGATAACTGTGAATCCAGGCTTTCAGCATTCCAGAGAAAAATTGCGTTACATCATTATATTAGTCTTCTGCTGTAGTGTGAAATTGATTGTTCTGGAAAATGAACCTGGCTTCACTATAAATTACATCTATGGCTTCTAAGGAATCTGTTATTTTGTTTAAAATAGTACCTAATATAATTAGAGTTCTAATTTATGTTAAACTACAAGTGTGCCTATTACAGTAACAGGGTTTTGAATTTAATCTGTCTCCCGGATAAAGAATGATACAGTGTGGTTTTCATTTGTAACCTCAGACACATTATTTCAGTAACATAGTCTGTAACCATTAGATATGAAAAATGGATTATTATACAGACAGCTTTATTCATGATTTTCTCTTTTAAAAGTTAACATTCCTTCCACGGAGTGGAAAAGTTAAAAATGGGTAATTAAACAACTTATCATATGGTCAAGACACCTTTAGAATATCAATGGAGGTTTGCTTCTAAGCACAGTTCAAGCTTTTAAGACACCATAACTGTGCAATGAAAACATTTGAGTGAAAAAGAACTAATGGTAAAATACCACATTGCATAAATGCATACAGTACATGGACCATATTTTGTCTTATTATGACTTATACTATCCAATAAATAGATCTCAATAATTTGTTTCCCTCTATGCAGTAGGAAACAGTAGCTGGCTATTTCTAAATTAAATGTGCTTTTTAAAGCTTGTCTGAGGTGTAAAATAAAACCTTTTCATGATTTCAAGTTAGTGTATAAGTAAACCAACAGTAACAAGACAAAGATGCTTTTAATTTCCAAATTAGGAAGAACATCAGGACAAGAATGAGAAATTTAGACCCATAACATTTTAAGCAGTCTTTGAAGAATTAGGCAGAATGAAATAGATTATACAGTAGTCTAAAACCTTTCCTTACCTTATTAAAATGTTTTACTAAACAGGAGAATGAAAGGAGCAAACCTACCATTTAAGGGCTCGTTTTTTCAAAATCTGACCTAAAGTAATATCGGTTTCATTTGACCCAGATAACCTAATCAGACAGTAAAGACCCACCAGAATTGCAAAGATAATTGCTACATGACCTGCACTGTTTTCTTGTTTTTTTCTTTATTTATCCTCATTCTTAGTTTTTCACTTATTTGCACAGTTTTTCTTATTAAATTGTTTAATAATTGTGAACAGAAAATGGTCCTTCTTTATATTTAGACAAATTTACAAACATGGCTTCATTCCATAGAGTGAGGCCATCGGTGCAGGTGGTGATTTCACAGTAGAAATACTTGTTTTCTGTTTTAGACAGATTTGTTTCTCTTCATGGCCTCAGTGTTGTCCAGTGCTCATTAAAGTGCAAGATGACAGTTCTGGGGAGTTGATAATGGATGTCTTGTAAGGCCAAGTATGAATTCGATATCCACAGAGTACTCCGTTTTCTCTGCCAGCCAACATAGCTTAGCAGCCTAGCTCATACAGTAGAATAGCTGCCTTTTTGCAGGGGGTGGAACTCTCTCCCTGCTGAGGATTCTGAATAAGATGGCAATTAGTGATGGATTAGGTGGTTGTATCCATTAGGATCTAGGTTGAAACCATCGGAAATGGCTAAAAAAAAAATACACTTAAAACAAGTCCGAACCTGGACCTGGTTTCTGACCAGTTTCCCAGGAGTGGACCCTGATTGCCTTCATTAGTAGACATACTATGCCTGTGGCTTAACCCCTTCAGTTAAATTGCGTTGGTTGAGTGATTTTGTAGGACAGAAAACATGCTTTTGTTTACAGCACATCAGTAGGATTTTTTTTTAAATAGGAAAAAAAAATGGAAAAAGTGGCTGTTGCCTGTATCTAAAATAAATTGTTCTGCGTTTTCCTGGGCAGAGTTTTGACAAGCTACCTGTAGTCGTCTGAACACTGGACTTGGTTAGTTTAATGAAAGAGCATTATATGTCTTTACATGTCATTCCACAGATTTACAAAGCAGTACTGCCAAATGGTCTTATAGCAAATGAGTCAAAGAGCCTGAAAATAAAACAAAAGACATATTTGCACTTAATATGCTTGTCAGAATCTAATAGTAATCCTGTGTACACTGAATCCTCTATAAAAAAAGACCATTGATAAAAATCCAATGTTACTCGCTGTAATTTATTATATGATCCACTATGGAACCAAATTAATTAAGTGATAAAGTTCTTGTTTAACTGAAATTCTGACACCGAAATATCAGAAAATAATATGAATGTACATATAATAGATTTATATACGAATACACTGTATATATAAAACAAAGTTTTCCTATCTGGTTGATTCTAAGAACAAAAGGCTATGAATCACAATGGGAACAAATATTAATGCAGGAAAATATTATTGCTCAGCAGTGTTTGTTTATCCCTCTTCCTAAAGGACAGCTACTGTACATTTTTTTTTTTCTGTGTGTTACTGTATACATTTAATTTGTAGTTTCTCTTCTGCCCGGGAGGTGAAGCAACCTTTGGCTGCTGGAGGAGTAAAGCAACACATATCTAGTGTTTTGAGACGCAGAATTGACAATGCATTTATCTTTGAATAATGTAAATGTCCTGAGAATACTGTGGCAGTTGTCTGGAACAGGACCCTGTCCTCAGTGTGTGCGCTGAGGGCCCGAGCTGTCAGGCAGTGTGCTTGCAGCTCCGGCTCTGGAATAATTTCAGCTGTGTCTCCTGAAGTGCGCGGAGGAGCTCTCTGCAGCTGAACATTCCTCCTCAGGCTAGAAGCATAGTCTTAAAGTTAATTTAGAGTCCTGTTGTAGAGGGAATTAATGGGTAAGGCTAGCCAAAATTAAACTTTGCTTTCCTGTCAAGGGGGGAAGTAAAAGGCAGGAAAAAGACTTAAGGAATGGTCAGATTTGTGGTTCTCACTTTCAGAGCATTGAAAAGTAAATCAGATGATCAGATTCTTTTTCTGGAGGATAAGAAAAAAAAACCTGTACCGTGAATGGCGGTATATAAAATAAAGGTTATTATTATTAAACTATGAAATTAGCTGCTTGTGATCATGGCATTAATATAACTTCTTCTCTAGCAGTGGTAGGGAAGTGGCAATTTCAAATTAAACACTTCATGGGCAGCCTTTTCTAAACGTAATGGGCTGATGCCCCAACAAATATGTTTGTTCAGGCTGAATGACTAAAACACGTATGGTTTAAAATTAATAGCTGGTGGCAGGCTGGCAGTGCTGTTCAGTGAGGCAAAGTGCCAGTAAATTGTTTGTCTTCTGCAGTACAGTCCTATAATTCTTCTGGGAGCCAATGACATTGTGCTTGCCAAACAAAATAATGATAAATAGAGGAAAATCAAACTTGAAGATTTTAGATGGGGTTTTTTTTTTCCGTCTCTGTGTCCTAGCTCCCTGGTCTGTTCTGAAAACATTTTCCTTCCTAAGGTGCAGATTAAAAATTTCTTATTTTCAGTTTTAAGATTGTAACTTGCCGTTTTATAATGTTACTTCCAACTAAGCTTTCCTTGAACTCATGTTGTGTAAATGTGAAAACTTCTTCCTATTGCAGCATGAATATATGAAGCAGTAAAGAGAATATTTGATTATTTTTAACACGTTTTCCCCATCATTTCAAGTCATTTCATGTTTCCATTTTACTTTTGCACATTGGAGCCGATTTCCACTACAGAGATTTTTATTTTATGTCCATCTTACATATAATATGTACATACGTACCTGCATATTATAAGTATATTTTATGAATGTTCAATATGGAACATTTGTATTGGATGATTTACTTGTATTGCATTGTATGCTATTGTACGTTCCTGTAAATTGTATTTCTTTTTCCATAATTGGTTCTTTGTTGCACCACTCCTGGAAATAATTCTATACAAATAATTATAACATCTCATTTTTCATAAGAAAATGCGTGCAGCTTAAAGGTAGCAGAGCAAAAATGAACAGGTTTCTGAATTTTTCGCTGTTTTCAAGTAGTCTGTAATTTGTTTGTTAGTGCAAATTGCGTTGGTTTTCTAAACTTCAACAGAAGGGGCCGTGCAGGTGGTAATTCTACAGAATTTCTAACCAGCATGGTGGTGCGACAGTCAGGACTGCTTCCTCGCACATTCTGGCTTCTGATTTTGATTTCTGACCGTGAAAAACGTCTGTATGGAGTTTGCATGACTCTCTGTCTGTGCATCCCACCGCCTTAACACATCGATTACAACAATCGATTACATCGATTACCTTAACACATGGATACAGCGCGTGTGCCCTGTAATGTACTGATGCCCCATTCAGGGTAAAAATCCCGCCTTGAACCCTGTACTTCTGGGCTGCAGGATAGCATGACCCTTGAAGAGAAGGAAGAATGGGATTTGCAGTCACTGAAATGGCACCGAACAACATCGGATCATTCAATTTGTCAGCGTATATTAGCTGTTGTGATTGTCTTTAGTGATAAGTCAATATAGTAAGGAGATCATAGAGCATGGTTAACAGAGTATGTTAGATTTATTTAAACAGGTAGCGGTTAGCAGAAGTGAAATGTTATGTGCCGGCACTTTGGACACCTTTTGACAGCTATGTAAGGGGAGACAGCACTATGATTTTATAGAGTGTAAAGAAGCCCATCGTCATTGTTTCCTGGGAGATGTGCTTAATCTCAAGAAATGCCTTTCAATCTCAAGCGGTAGAAAGAGAGTGGTTTCACAACCCATCCTCTTCTCTCATTCCCCCATTTTCGGCAGTCACGCCAATGGGAGAGGCTCCGTAGTAACACGTCCGCACAGTGATCACTCCATCATGTTTTCTTCTGTCGGCTTTCACTGGAGAAATACAGCCGCAAATGAGCGGCTTGGTTTTTTTTTTCCAGAAGAGCTGCAGTTTCGGTGCTGACCGGGAGCGTCTGCGCACACGTCGAATGTCTGATCATATACAGACGTAGAAATACCTCATTTTAGAGAGGTCAACAGAGCTGCACTCTGCAGCTTTCCTGAAAACCAGGCGTTTGGTACACATGAAATCTAATAGGGCATTCTGTACCAAAACCACATGCATCGTCTCTGAATGTGTCTTGTGTCCCTTCATTGCATTTGAATGCACTATCCTGCCGTTTATTTATTTGTATTTTGCTTTCCAGGCCTATCTGCGGATGTGCAATCTGCCAGTCCAGGTGGTCTGCAGAGCCAATGCTGAGTACATGTCCCCATCTGGTAAGTCTGTTGTTCCCTGTGTGCATCTGGGCTCTGGAGTTACAGTGTCATGGCAACCGCGATTTGCAGCCCTTCAGCAACACCATTGGATGCAGCAATTCTAATTGCCCCCGCTCTCTTCTGGTTTTTTTTTTCTGGGTTTGGAGGAATGTAACATAAACCGCGATGTGAATAATGAACCCGCAGCAGTACTGGTCTTGCTTTTATTGCAAACACAGCTGCAGTAAATACAGAACCTAATTAATATTTAAATGCAGCTTCTGCTTGTGGTGTGCACAGTTGCTCAAGGAACAGTGCACCATTCAGATTCCTCACTGAAGGAGTAGGATTTGTTATTAGCTGGGCAATGTCAGCCGATGACCTTAGTGTTACTGCTGGAACAGTACAGAATGCCCTATTAGATTTCTAATTTCTAGCAGTACTGTATTTCTAATAGATGTAAAGCCATTTGAAACACATATACAGGTAGCAAAATTCCTGTATTATGCACAGTTGTTGCAGGTATGAACATTTAACATTGTGATATAATTTGATTTATAATCTGATTTATAATGATTATCTTTGTGTTGATGCTGAAAGGCTTGTGCTATGTCTGTATTAACAAAAGAAACTTGTAACAAAATAATCCTACTTTACTACTAAAATAAACCTATGTTAATGTTTGTCATATTTATTGTATGTCTTATTTGTGTTTTGCCGAAAATGCAACACCAAAAGCACCAGTTTTTTTTTAAAAGCTAAAATATTAAAGAAAATAAACATGTTTTACTTACACTTCCTTTTGTGAGATTGCTAGGGTATGTGTGTGCATCACATACTGTAAGTACTTTGGGTGTTCATGAGGAACATATGTGAGAAGCCCTGTGAGACCTCTGTTCAAAGTAACCTGCATCTCCTTTGTAATACACTTTATCGTATGGATGCAGATGAGGCCTTTGTTGGAGTGTTGCACCTCATCCATTACCCTAAGGCTGCCAGGGAGATAGTGAAGAATGAATCTTTTGAAAAGGACCATGGCACAACCTGCTGTTAGTGTGAACTCTGCGTGAACTAGGCCTAACAGCAGGTTCCATGCATCAAAAAATACACACATTTTTCACTTTTTGCCAATATTTAGTACAGTTTACCTCGATCAACATACCCTGCATTACAATCCATCTATTTCTCAATCTTTTAATCTCTTTGCCTGTCTGCCTATAGTATCTGTCTTGTTTGACTTTATCAGTCTGTCTGCCTTGTCTGACTAAAACTGAGATTTCTTTGGAGTTTTATAGATCTCAATCCGCAAATCATCTTTCAAAAACAAAAGGAAATAAAGTACAACCTCTTGTCAGTTAGTTAAACTGCCTATTTTACCCCACAGTTCTCTTTATAAGTAAATATATACATATAAAGCATATACTGTAGGGTCTGTTCTGACACATGTAGCTACTGTGGGATGTCCTTATTCTGGCATTGATGTTGCATTTTTAATTCTGCATTCAAAATTCTATTTTGACTAGATTTAATTTCCTTTTAGGTAATATGAGCATGTTGTTGGATGCTAACAGACTTTTTCCAGCCCTCACACATAATAGACCATCTTTCATAGTTCCTGAAAGAATGTTATTAATTTCAGCTCAGCAGAAAATAGATTTGCGGCTTCAGAGATCTAGTTAACTGATTGACTCGGGCAATCTGAAACTGCAGAAACCTGGCCTAATGGGGGAGGTGGAAAATTTTTCTGACTGGAAGCCGAAAGTAAAGCCAGGGTTCACTTTTCATATGAGCATTACCGGTAGCATAAAAAGTTTTAACTCTTGAATACACCAAACGAGTTAAGACTGTATGCCATGATAATCTAAATATTACAAACACTAGAGAAATAATAAATGGTTGTCTCTGAGTAAACATATTTTACATAGACTTAAGTGATGCAGTCTTAATGTGACATTTTGTTGCTGCAGATTAAAAATAAATACAATCATCTAAAGCTCAGCTTCCTGCCCTAGACAAACCACGTTTTATGCTTTCTGACTTTTATAGAAGCCCTTTGGCAATACTGTCATGGACTTTGTTGCTTTATGTGAAAAGTCATTGGACACAATTTAATTTCTGTCAGCTCTGACTACAATGGATTTCTTTACGCTATTTTCCACTTCTCACTGCGGAGAATCAGTGGAAGCAGACTGTGCCACCACTTTTTTTTTCTCTCTTTTCTGTTGCCCCAAGGTAAAGTGCCCTTTATACACGTTGGTAATCAAGTTGTATCGGAACTTGGTCCCATAGTCCAGTTCACCAAGGCGAAGGTAAGAAAAACCACATCTATATGAATGCATTCAGTCACAGAAACTTTGAGACCACTACATCAATCATTCTGAGCCACATTCTGGAATACGTATTGATTTGACAATTTATATAAAAAATATTATGAATGCTCACAACCACTGCTAAGCTTTCAGATTTGTCAAATAAAGGAAGAGAAGGATATCTTTTGTATGTGTTAGTAAGCAAAACGGGGGAAAATCCATCGAACACTGCCTGGAATGCTTAATTAAAATCTTTGTACTTTTCTTTCAAAGACTCAGACTTTGCATATACTTTTGCTTCAGTTAAATTATGTGAGGGGAAATATACCGTGCCCAACTCGAACAAACCTGACCCGAGATGCTTTTATAGGTGCAAGCAAATAATTTAATACACACATTAGATTATGGTATATCTGTACATTTTATTTGCCTAGGTTTTCCATCTTCTGTTTCATGAAAGACAAACATCTGAAACAACCTCATCTGAAATATAGAAGAAGCTGAGTGTTTTGTTGAGAAATTCCCTTTATCATTTGATCCAAAAAATGAGGTTCCCCGATTCAAATTATTGATTTGATTTTGATCTGATTAAACGCTAATTGACAATAAGGTCGCCGTTTCTCTTTTTAACTGCAGCCATCCTGGAGCTAAACTGAATGGAAGTATGTAACACATACTTGTTCTTTGTCCCTTTAGGGCCATTCACTTAGTGATGGACTGGATGAAGTCCAGAAGGCAGAGATGAAAGCCTACATGGAACTTGTGAATAATATGCTGCTGACAGCTGAGGTACAGTAACTTTTCAAATCTTATGTAGCTTTAGCTCTATACAGTGAATGTCTAAGAATGCATGACACATTTTTCTTTATGTTGCCAGCAACCAGTGCTACTTTATATAAACCTGACAGGCTAAAGAACTTGTAATGATTTTCAGGACACTTTTCTGGGGACAACATGTAGATTAGACTTTGGGGAGATTTTCTCTCAGGAAATTCAGCCACATTGTTACAGGAGACTCTTGAGAAGTATGGCGTGAGCTACTTTTATTTTAAGGAACTTGGGCACCATACAAGTACTTACTTTTTATGTATGTATATAAAGAAATGATTTCAGAAAAAAATGAATGCCTGTGTCTCCAAATATAGGAGAAAACTAGATTGTATTCTGTTGATTTGTTGCTCAGAGGAATAGATATAGGTTTACATTTAGCAAGAATAAAGTTTATTATGTGTGAGATAATATACATAAATACATTTTAAGCTCCCATTATTCTGTACCCACGATGTTCTATTAATAACAGTGAATTGGTGACAATTAATTAGCATTGATAACACACTATTATCCTCTCTGATTGTCTCCATCAGGAAAGTAAATGAGCAATCAGCACAGCTGGATTAATGTGAAATTAAAAGGGTCACCCTGACATTTTTTTTCGCTGCATTTTAATTAGATTCACCTACTATTTCTGTTATTTTAAAAATATTTATTTTTCACTAAAGTATCCCTTCTGCAATCTTGACCATAATTAATCACTGCACTCCTGAATATCATTAATGAAATGTGTGTAACCTTTTAATATTCCAGCCGTTCTTTCATAAATCAAGTCTAGATAAGAGTAAAGATTAAGTTTTTACAGCGGGAAGTTTTTCATAGATTGTCTCTCTGAGCTCAGATTCTCTTTGTATTTTGCAGCTGTATATACAGTGGTGTGATGAAAACACAGCGATGGAGGTGAGCGCTTTCACAGCATTTATCTTAATTAAAATTTAATGAAAAGGGGCTTTCTTTACAATTGTAGCTCCCAGCTCATAAATGATACATGGTACTTTACAGCATTAGTAATACAGTGTTCATTTACTTGGCCCGCACATATATTTCCGAAAAGCTGTGTGTCACTTTTGCTTGCTACGACTTTTATTGTTTTAGGAGCACATAATGCGGAGTTAAGATATAGTGTATTTAAAATTTTATAATGTTGATTTTGCTTTGTGGCTATTATCTTAAACCTTGGCGAGAACATAATACACTCCATAAATATTTGTCCTTGTGTATGTACATGGATGCATCTATCACAATTGATTAAATTTAAAAAGTGTTTTTAGAGCGGTAGTTCTTAAAATGAGTGTTTTTAGATTACAGAGGCAATACAGAAAAAGATATAGGGTGCAGTATTTCTAGCTATTCATTTTTATGTTCGATTCCTCATGAAGTGCATATCTTTTTTAAATGTATTGTTTAATATCAAGTGTGAAATATCCCACTTTTATAGTTTTTATTGATTGCTATGTTATCACCAATGTTATCACTTACACAACAAACTGTGGAATATTCCATGCGTTTGTGTTTTTCTTTAAGTAGGCCAAAAGGGTCCCACATGTTTTTACAAATGCAGCACAATTTACTTTGTAAAGTTTGGAGGCTAAATAACGGGCATGGACAAGGAAAGGAAACAAATTCTCTGTACCAGTACTCATGGATTTTCTTTTTGGTTCACAGAAAATATTTTACATCAAAAGGCTCAATAAACCTTACTCAAGTTATTCCTGTTTTAGATTACAAGGCCAAGATACAGCAGTCCTTACCCCTGGCCCCTGAATCACATTCTGGCCTATCAGAAACAATGGGAAGTCAGGCGCAAGATGAAAGCCATTGGCTGGGCAGGAAAAACACTTGAACAGGTTGGTACGCATTTGTCATAATGTGCACAATCTGTCGTAAAGTATGTTCTCACGAGTGTTATTTTTATTTCTGGTAAAATGCATGATGGATGCAAGGGTCAGTTACATTTCTCACATTCCACTTGCATGAATTTGCTTTTCTTGTTTCGCAGGTTTAAAGGATTCAATATTGCCTCCCTTGTAAAACGTGAGCACGAAATTTGAGGTGTAGAATAAAATGTTTAAAGAGCAAGATTAATCAACAGCAAGGGGAGACTGACCATCCGAAGCTGTCAGCTCTCGCTCAAAACAATGTCTCCTGTCTTCTCCAGCCATCCATGAAACGTAAAATTCTTCTACCATGAAACCTCTTCTTTAACCCTTTACTTGGCAGACACTCACATACAGTATAAGGAGCACATCAATAAAACTAATGATCTGACAGCTGTCCCATAATAATGATTACACTGCAGAACCGAATGTTCATCTCACTTCCTTAGGTGCTTGAAGATATGAGTCAGTGCTGCCAAGCTTTGTCACAACGACTGGGGACACAGCCTTATTTCTTCAATAAACAGTAAGTGTGAAACAGTCTGCTGGTAAGATAGGCTTCTGAAAACGCAAGACGTACATGATTCATAAATGAGGCTAGTGTTTATGCTGGGGAGCTTTAGAGAACTGACTTGAATTTCATTTGTCATTATATTACGGGGAAAAAGCCATGCTTAATTTATTTTGCGCTTTGCTTGCCAGGATTTTTCTTTTGTTTTGAAATCTAGTCTGTTTTATTTTTCGTGGCACATCATGTCGAAATCCGAAGTTGCCAAAATAAGTCAAGGATGGTTTATGTTGAATCAGATTTCATTGCTTCAGAGATATTAAGATACCATGCAGAAGCATATTGGGGGGGGGACTGCGTTGATGATTGAGCAGAAGCGTATTTGAATGGTGAGGAATTATAGCTCCTGTTTCCGGGTGAGGAAGCTTTCTCTCTCCGTTTGGACACTTGTGCAAGAGCTGAATTTGCTTTGGATCTGACTTCTCTGTTGCATCCACGCTGAAACTGCAGGCGTTTTAGAAGCTTGCAAAAATGGCAGGTTTCAGTCCCCAGTCCCGTACACGTACTTGTGGTCAGTTCCTCTGGTGTTGTGGCATGTGAAGGAGGATTTGGGATTGGCCAGCCCAGCAGGAAACAAGTCACAAGAGGTCAACCATTGAAGGAGGGTCCGCAGTGTAGGTAAAGCAGGGGCCGTGTCTCAAGCGAGCCCTGTCCTTTGATTTTTCCTGTCATGTTTATTTCCATTTCTTTAGGTTTCACCACAAAAGAAATGGAACCAAATTGTTGCTTCCATGTAGGTTGCATTTCACTAGTGTCAGGCCCACTTGGCAGATGAAAGGCCCAGAAGTGCATGTTCCTGTTTGAAGTGCAGCCGTCCTTTAAAAGGAGGGTTTTGTTATGCACAGTAGCTGCAGGGAAGACTACAGGAGCAGACCTTCAGTTCCTTTTTTTTTTTTCAGATGGGTGAAGGGTAGCCGGGAAGATGATAAAATACTGTACCCTACTTACATTGTTTTAAGCGGTCCTGTGCTCACATATTTTCTTTAATTTCAGTGCATGGGGAAATTATAATTAATCTGTTAATGACAGCCGGGTTTGTCATAAGCTTGGGGAATGTATAATAAATTGCAGTAATAAAAATTAAGATTGCATGCATCAGTGAAACCTTTGGAGGTTTTGTTTAATTTAGTTACAAAATGTCAGCTGCTGACTGGGCTTCTTGGCTCTACCTTGAGAATGCTAATTTTCTGACACGAGCTTAACCTGACACAGTAATCAGAATCCGAACGGGGGAAGGAGAGAATCACCTCAATTGTTTGTGTCTTTGTTTCTTTCAGACCAACCGAACTGGATGCTCTGGTCTTTGGACATCTGTTCACAATCCTCACCACCCAGCTCACAAGTGATCAACTGGGAGAGAAGGTGAAAAACTACAGCAACCTGTTGTCGTTCTGCAGGAGGATAGAGCAGAACTACTTTGAAGACCATGACAAAGACAGCCTCGCAAGCTCTTCGTCTCGGTTTTCTAAAGGTCCCTCGCTGAATTGAACTCCAACCCTAAGACGCTGCCTTCCTTTCCTCTAAGGTGTATAAGGATTCGACTGAACATTAGGATATAGCGGCAGTGGTCTTGTCTGATGTAAAAATGTTTTTCCGATGTATGTGGAGATGTTTTCTAGTGTAAAATGGAAATGGGAGCACTTAGAAATAAAGACGTGATTCAAAATGTCACATTTGTTTTTCCTTTTTTCTGATTTTTTTTTCTCTCTTTCCATTTGTTTTGTATTCATGTATAGCATGGATTCAGTTATGTTAAGCTTATGTTACCTGGTTTGGCTTCCTTATGCCATTTTGCTGTGGATTTCAGAATTCAAAGAAATTCAAAGTACTGCTGCTCACCTTCAAGGCCTGAACAGTCTGGCTCCAGATTACATTGGTGAATCGTTAACTCCACCTCGTTTTCCCTCTTTGGCCTTCTTTCAGCTCCAAAACCAGGCTCCAGAAAACTAGGAGACAGGAAGATCATTTCATAGTCTTAGAGCAACAAAACAGAAACCACAGTCCTACACAGTCAACACTTTCACATTTGTTCTTAAAACTCACCTTTATACTCTAGCTTTTACTTAATTTACTGCATTCCTTTCTGTGCACCTATCTCTAATGTTTTTAAATGGTAAATCTGCCTTAGATGGTGTGTCATGAAAGGAGATATATGCAAAAAGGATTACTATAATTGGACCAGGACAAAACTGGAAGACTTATATAACATCAAGAAATATCATATAAAGGTTACTAATAAAGAAGACCCCTAAATAAGGATACATGAAGTAATCTATTCCACCTACTGTATATTTGTGGTCTGCTTTGTGTGGAGCAAGGGAATAATTGGTTTTCCCTTTACATTTTTAAAATATTTAACTCAAAGCAAATTACTTTGTGTACTAAAAGCTATAGGGTTAAAGGTTCTCGTCACATAATAGGAATTTAAAAGCTTCCTTAATCCTCTCAATTAGAATGCAGTGCTATTATGCCGAATATGAAAATGAAATTTTGAATTCATTTCTTTTTATCTGCTACATAACTGCTTCTGCACTGAAGGTCCTTCATGCCAGAAGGCGCCCTCCACTTTAGCCTGAGAGGATCAAAAGGGAAGGCAATTTACATTACACTCTTGAGGATTATCATGTTAGCTGATATAGCCCCAAACTGGTAAAGCTGCTTCCATCCCAAGCCTTAACAAGGGTTCTCTCAAAGAGAAACTCTGTGGTTACAAGGTGATTAGCCCCTGTTTCACATTAGCATCAAAATGGCTCTCAAACCTCTGCTGCGTTGTGTACAGGGTGTCAACGCAGAGTGAAGATGGCCCACCATTCTGTCTGGTCAGAGATCACTCAACCGCTTGCTTTTGGTAGGTCATCTTTCGGTTGCTCCTGGACCTGGTCAGCTCTTTGATAATCTTGATCTCCCTGGGTTATTTAGGAAACAATGAGTTTTGTTTAGGGTTTTCCCTGCAGGCAAGCTAGCGCACATGAAGCCTGACACCAATTGACCCACTGGTGTTTCCCAGGTCGTCTTGCCACAACATTGCCCTCAGTACCCCAGTCGCATCAACACAATGCATATCTTTTTAAACACAAACTGCTCCTGGCACTCTGAAATCTTGAGATGCTGCCTGATTAGAGAAGAGCTATATTTTTCCATGAGCTGCGAAGCAATTAGCTGAGATTCCACCCTGCTCCAAAAACTTTGTAAAGGTCATAGCCTGGACGGTTAGCTATTTGTGACCTAGGTCACTTAGAGTAAGAGATACTGTTGCCCTCACAATGAACTACTGCAATGGAACACCTTAGCCGTGAGTGGATATTACTTAAAGTAGCATTTTTCCGTGACAAAAGATACTTTTATGAACCAGTGTTATTAAATGCAGTATAATACAAGAATCTACCCCCAAATACAGAATCGACATCAAATGATTTTTGTATTAGGGTGCATATTGAATAAGTAGCACAATTTTATGAGTTGCACACGTATTCCATGCTGATGGAGTAATTAAAAATGTGAAATCACATCTAGGTTCCAGTCTTATGATGCCCATTTGCAGGGGACGGCATGGAATTATTTGAAACAGAAATAGTCCCCTAACTTTTGTTGCATCGTAAAGTCTCTTAAGCAAAAATATGAAAAATTATGAGTTCATGTGTATATAAAAACACAATATGCCTGTTGTTTGCCGGGCTATGCTACCTGCGACCCTGTATTTGGTATAACAGAAAATGGAGAGTGGATGTCAACAATGAACAAGATCTAGGCCTCTCGAATCTATTCAGCATAAACTATACTTCTAAATAATAAGTGATAATATTTTACTTTATTTAGCCAGCAAATTAAGCATCAACTAAATGATGTTCTAATGCTGTTTTTGCTGGAAAGCCATTATATTTTATTTTCTTAAACAATCAGAGGCGACACAACGTGCCTGACTGCGTTGTTTTCAAGACCCCACGGCTCTATTCTTCTGCACAACAGCCTCACGAAAAGCTAAAAGAGGCTTTGAAAAATAGCGTGCTTATATCCCACAGAGATGACGAGTGCTTTGAAGTGCTTGACTCGGGGAGATTACGCTAAGCAGAGCTAATATGAGATATATGAGATCAGATTTTTTTTGTCGTTGTTGGGTGGGGGGTGGGGGGGGCGGTTGTTTTTTATTTGTACGGTAGTAACTATCAAATGTTTTTTTGTCTTTTGTTTTTTGCGAAGACCACTGTCTGAAGACATTTAAAGCTCACTGCACCAAAAGGGTAATAAAACGTCCAAATGGAATGTGCTGTTGGGATGTGCCTAATGAAGCCTCTTAGGATCAGCTGGGCAGCCAGTGCCTGCTTCATTTCCTGCACTATTCTTTTTCTTTACAAGCAGAGTATAGCTCCCATGGCTCCCACAATAATTATCACCCACTTGTTCTCCAGGAGGGTTTTTTTTTTTTGGCGATGTTTTTGTTTTGGTTGTGTGTGTATGCATTACCCGGTCTGAGAAACCCACCATATAAATCATTACTGAGGTTGTTATTTATCACCTGCTGGGTGAGAAATAATAATTTTGGCACTAGTGGGGCAGTGGGCCAGAGGTACCGAATTAAGTAAAACATCTAAACACTCGCAAGGATCATTTCTCTGATTAATGATTCCTTGCAAAGAAAAAGTGCCGCTCATTATCTGGCCTTGTATGTCCAAAGTGGGATTTGCTGCTGAAAAGTTTGAGCTTCATGTTTTTGTGTGTGTGTGTGTGTGTGTGTGTGTGTGTGTGTACATGTGTACCAGTTTTCCAATTGCCTCTTTTTGGTAGTGATTGGCAGTAAGTGTCCTTTTAAATCCCGTATAATATTTCTTATGTCTAATTGAGGTGATTAACATGATGCAGTATAGTATAAAGGATGTTAACATTTTCTATCAATGCCTAGAAATATTATTTCTCTTATTGGTCTCTATATATGTTTATGTGTAGTTTACATGCTATAGCATGTGATTTGGAGAGGATACTTGGAGTGCAATGATAGGCCATAGTCACACATTTTTAACCAAGGTTTTGTGTGAAATATTCAAATAGAACAAGCAATAGCACTTCGATTGAATTTGCACCCTCAAACAAGAAAACAGAGTTTTTCAGCCGGTGAGCATGATGCTGTCTGGATTTTAGGAAGTTCTGAAATTTGAGAAATACACTCTGTTCTGGCCTGAACAGCCTCTGGCCTGAACATTCAATAGAGTTGTACTTCAAATTGGTGGTAAACACTTTGTTTGGGTAATTTCAGAAGTATTTTTCTATGGCCTTCACAATCATTTGACTTCAGAGGCTAGATCGGTCCCACCCTTATTTATTTGAGTGCAAGGCTTAATTAAATCCATTAAAAAACATTCAAAATACTGAGCACCTTAGCTCTTCCTTATTGTGTTTTCTTTCAATAATAAACTCCAAAATAGATGGCAGCGGTCTTTTGGGGGATAAATTTAAGCACAATTTCTTTTTTAAAAAGCTTAACTCTGCCCAACATAGAGTAGGCAATTAAACAAGTTATTGTTCACATGGTCATTAATCATTTTTTTATATAGAGAATATCAGAAGCATGAAATTTACGGTACTTTTCTTCTGGTCAGCGAACAGTAACATGCTATAGCATGTGCTCTATGGGTTCTTCGGCGCTTTAGAGAGGGAACTTGAAGAGCGATGATAGGCCAGAGTCACAGTCCACCACCCCACTCTTTACAATTGCTTTATTCAAAGCAGCTGCTCTTCACTTATCTAAAGATCAGATTTCTTCCTATCAGAATAACTAAGGGTAAATGGGACCAACACCAACGCACTCCCCATCTTTTTATTTTTCTTTGCACATCTTGCAAAAATATAATCATTCTTTTTAATTACTGCTGCTAGGCACTCTATTAAAATTCTAATTTGTTTCATCCACCCCAGTTGGTACAGGTCTGGTCGCAGTCCGTGGCTGAAACAAAATCTAGTGTATAATGTTCACGTTGGTACGCCTTGGTTGTGCTGCGTGTCAGAAGCCATCTTGCTGCAAATTCTTCACCTACCTTGGAGTGCAGCGTGTGGAACTGATGAGGTGAAGAGCATTGCACTGCAGCTTCGTGCTAGTAATCACAGGACTGAAGAAACACATACATCATCTGCCACATAGGTTGGCATTCCAAGTGAAAAGCCTTCACATCATGTAAGATGTTGGACAAATGACGGCCATATGCACGTTTGTCTCTGTACAGATGGCTCTGCGTCCTCAGTCAGGAAAAAAGCTGAGCTTGGCGCTTTTTCCCCTCTTTTTCCCACTCCTCTCTGGTATTTCCTCCTTCTTTGCTGGAGGTTTAATATTGGCAACACAGTTTAAGCCCTCGGTGGAGATAATAGTAGAAAAGATGACATAAATTATTTGCAAATTGTCTGACACATACAGGGCACTGTCCTTGCAATAATCATCATTGGTCTGTCAGTTTAAGATATAAATGGTGCCACTGTTGTTTTATGTCTTTCTAAAAAGCCTTTCCCACAGTGTCTTTTTTTCCTACACTGACACAATAACTGTATTGCTGATCTTTTTGTTCATTGTGTTTTAAAATCATCAGCTTTATTTAATTAAAATTTAACTGGTAATAACAAAGGGAAGGGAGGCAAGAGTAATTCTTTATGAAAAAGGATCTTATAATTCAGCCCCCTTTCCTTCTTAG